TATATCCTGATATTCTGAAACGAATAAAAAATATCATAAAAAAATGTGTCACATGTATTTCTAAGTCATAGCCTCAGGCAGATTATTTAGAAACTTAATATAGCTTGATAAATGCAGGTCTGGACACAGATGTAATTTTTATAGACACATGCTCAGTGAAGGATTGGAAGCCAAACCAGCAAAAATCAAACTGCTCAAGAATACTGTCAATACATGAATACAACAAGGCTTCTTTTTAGATAATCTATGCATGATTTGTCAGATTTCTTCCCCTGCTCTACTCTTTAGATGTATGCTAAAATCATTGATAGATTGAGATTATTTAAGACTCTGTAATGATGTTAGATTCAAGGATCAATTTTCAGTTTATCACAGAAGTTTCAGACAGCAAATATTTACCAATGATATTTTTATATATGTGACCATCCATTTTTTATGCTTAAATACTGTGTTGAGGATTTGCGGATATCTGTCATAAGGAGTGCCTGTGGAAATAAAGCCTTTCCATTAAGATGTTTGACTGAAGGCCCATTGAATCCCAGCAACTTTAGTTTCCTTGGATGTTTGATAACCTTGTGGCTCCAATACAATCTGAATGTAACACTGATTATTGTAAGAGAGGCTTCTCATGCAAAATGTAACGTTCTCCTGCTGGTGTTAGTTCAGATTAAAACTCAAACAAAACCAACTAGAAAGTCATGCATTATATCCTTTATTTTTTTTTTCATGAAACTGTGAGGTCTTGCTCAATAATCATTTTTAGTGATTTTTTATGTTTGAATGTTAAACTTAATCTCATATATCTGAAAATTAACCTTGTTCTTGGAACTTATCCATTTATAAATGAATGTGAAAATTGATTGAAATACTAATTTAAGCCTTTATTTTTTTAGACATCAGGGTTACCAATGATAGTGGAGGAGGTTGTTTAAGATTTTTATACCTTTTTTTGTGCTATTTTCTGTTTTAGTACCTAAGCATATTATAACCAACGCTGCTTTTTTGCGTTAAATGGCATAAATATACCGTATCTCAAATAGAGAATATCCAACTTTCATGTGTAACAACTCCAGGAAATGTTTTTTTAATTGCAAATTCTTCCAGATATTTCTAGTTTTTCACCACATTTCCTGTCATTCCCCTTTCTTTCTTTTCATAGGCACAGAGTCCCCGTCTTCCCCATTTCGGAGGCATTGATGTCCACTTCACTGGAATGATGGACTGTTTCATGCAGGTTGTTAGAAGCAAGGGCGTCCTGTCTCTGTGGAATGGACTAACAGCAAATACAATAAAGGTAACTTCAGATTTTTTATTGTAAAATCTATGCTGGGTTCATTCAGCACAAATGCCAAAGGATAGATTGGAAACTCATGATCTACGTAAAGGAGAGAATGTGGGCAGGACCAGGAAGGTGACGCAGTGGGTGCCCCCTGCAAGAATACCATGAGCAGGGTTGAACAGCATGCCCCAGTGTCCGGTTTCAGCTGCATATATCTTTAGAGATGAACATTGTCTCTCACATGATGATCTAATTTAACATAAGACCATTTCGACTGTAAAGAAACAATCATTTAAACTTAAAGTCACATCTTGGAGGTCATTTATTTCAAATTTTTTGTTGCTGAAATAGGAAAGGATTAATCTACCTCCAACCTCTCATTCATCCACAGATCGTTCCCTACTTCGGCCTTCTTTTCACCTGCTGTGAGATGTGCAAGCAGGTTTGCCTCTATCGTAACGGCTACATCGTCTCACCTCTGAGCTACGAGCCCACGCCGGGGGTGGACCAGAGCCTCGGGCCGTCCGAGCTGGAGGAGGTCAAGCGCTACTTGAAAAACAGGAACTTTGGGTCAGGGGAGTCGTCTTTTGGAAACCGCTGGTGAAGCTACACATGGAAACAATGTGCTGCTGAAAAAGCAGGAAAAATAAACTGCATCCCAGAGACTAAAACTGAGACTCTTAAATAAAAAATTGTATTATTTTTATCTGAAAGTATTAATCATAAATTGCACCAATTTATGACTAGTTTTGTGTAAAAACACGTGCCTTTGATGTTAAATATTTATTTTGGCTCATTTTGCAGTTTTTTACTGCATTAATTTCACACTATGCCACAGCCTTTTCTCATGAATAATACTGAAAGATGCTTTTTAACTCCTGACGTTAAAATTTAAACGTTATAACTGTAAAGACCCAAGAAAACGAAATGTTTTAATCCTTCAACACAAATGGATAATACAATGAATTACAGTTGAAGGAATCAAACATTAAAATGTTTACTTTTAACAAACCAAAAAGTGTTTGGTTATTTTTTTTTTGTGTTTTTTCTTTTGACCCTAATTAATACTGTATGATGAAACTACCTTTAAAAGCTGACATTTTTATGAAATAAGTTTAATTTGCCTTAATGTTTGCTTTATTTTTATGGAAATTACTACTTCCACTTGTGTATAGTTTTAAAGGAAAGTATTTTCATTGCAAATGGTAATTAACAAAACATTTTATGTCGGTGACCCTTTAAATCTACATTTTATTTAAAATGTGATTCTAGATGGGACACTGAGATTTGCTTTATACAGTCTACTCTTTATGCATCTTTACCCGGTGTATTTTAATAGTAATACCTTTGTACTTTCAACTATTTATGGTAGAGTCCGGTATGTTCTGTCAGCAGTTTGTCCTCCACCTTGTAGTATTTTAAGGTAACAGAGTGTACTACATCCTGCATATGGCAAGCCATCGTAACATATCTTCATTCACTGCAACCTTCCTATTGAATAGTTTGGTCTTAAGTGGGGTTTCATTTAATTTGAATTATATATCAAACCTATTTAGGTTCTAAATTTCTTCCAGGTACAGTTCCTAGTCGGTTTCAGCCTAAATGCTAGATATAAGAAGTTATTTTGAACTTTAAAGCCATGACATCCATGTAAAATGATTATGTTTCCCTGACTCTCTTCTATTTTTAATAAAAAAAAAAAAAAAACATATAGAAAGTTCTTATTGGAAAATATGCCGATTTCCCAACAAGAAAACAGCAGCTATTCAGTCAACATGACATTGACTGCACGTGCTTTGGGTCTGTCTGGTCTGAGTTGGGGGAAAAAAAGCATCAGGAATAGGGCTTATTTGTAAAACTGAATCTACTAAATCAGTCTGGCAGTTATGAAAGTCTGAGCTGGATCTCGTGATTATTTATAAAAAGACACTGATCAAGCAGCAGTACATATAAGATGTGGTGCTCTGTGACATTTTTATTTATCCCCTCACGCTGATTCAAACACCTCATCTTTCTCCCTAACTTTTTTGAGCTTTTTATTCACTAATAATGTCTCACTAACCTCAGAGGCCTTCACAGAGCAACTTTTTGGTAATGAAATGAAATTATAACTAAAGGCAACTTCTTGGATTGTTTTTTTATTTGGGAGTATCAGAGTAAAGGTGGCTGAATTCTGATTAGTATCTGTCATGGTCAGAGATGAGAAGTAACGAAGTACAAATACTTTGTTACTGTACTCAAGTAGATTTTTATGATATTTTTACTTTACTACTTATTTTGATGGCAACTTTTTACTTCTACTCCTTACATTTTTACACAAATATCTGTACTTTCTACTCCTTACATTTTTAAAAATTGGCTTGTTACTTTAGTTTTGAATCATTTCAATGGAGTTACCGTTATTATTTTTCAAGGCATCCATACCAAATTCAATCTAATTGGATGGGAATCTACGTTGCATTTGACGCACCACTACAAGATGAATCGACAGATTCGGCGGTATTCATTCGCGGCAAATCATTGCAGCTTGGTGGCGGTGGCGTTAGCACAGTAGTATGGACAACGAGATGATTGAAAATGAACACAACGGAGATCTAGTCCTATTGGCAGACATCCATTTAAAACGTAGGCAACGGCATGAAAAAAGTGGTTTCTACTTTGACTTTTATACTTTAGGTAAATTTACAAGCCTGTACTTTGTTACTTTTACTTGAGTAAAGAAGTTTAATCAGTACTTCCACTTTTACCAGAGTATTTTTTAACACAAGTATCTGTACTTTTACTCAAGTACGGAAAGTGAGTACTTTTGCCATCTCTGGTCATGGTTTCCTATGTGCTACGGGTGTTGGTTAAACATATTGGAGTTTTTAGCTTCTATATTTTCCTGATGATGCTTGTGAAGATTATTAAATGCTTTTATTATGTTGGGTCAGATAAGAAGACTGAATGATTGCACTGAATCCTGTTATTTAAATATGACTTTTTTTTATAGATGTTTAGAACTGTAAATGTACAGACATTTGTTTATATTACAATTTTTTTCTTTTTTTAATGTTTTTATGAATGTTTTACAAGGCTGCACTTTAAAAATGAAATTGTCTAGACCTGTTTTAAATGAAATTTCTTTCTGTATACACTCGTGTATACAAAATGACCAAATAAATCTGTCTAAGTTTAATTTTGTTTACACACGTGTAAAAGAAAAATACATTTTGTTTAGAACAGCTCTCTGGACAATTACATTTTTTTTAAAGTATATATGAAGGAGTGTTGTCAGATTATTTGATATAATGCCCTGCCCTACTTGGTGCGACGGGATTTGCGTGGACTCAGTCAGCTGATTGACCCACGTCCCTCCCACAGTGGGAAACTGACAGCCAAAGGACATCAACAGTTGGGGTGACCTTTACCCACCATAGTTTTTAGGCCCTGTCTGGTTCAGACTGGAATTGAACTCTAATTAAATAAAACAAATAAAAACCCGTCTTATGAAGATTAAAACAAGAAAAAATCCACAACTTTTGTTTATGATAAACTCCCCCTGTTATTGTGGAACAAAAAATATATATACTTTACTCTCTGGGTGACCATGGAAACCAGCACATCTAACTGAAACAACGTCATTCGGCTCCTCCCATCCTACTCACAACCGACCTATCGCAAGCGAGAGCAGGAATCCACGTTTCTCGCGGCGTTCAGCCTCCTTAAAACCATTCAACTCTCGCTTTCTTTCGGCCATTTCAACTCCACCTGCTGAACCCACGGACCGAGCAGCCGGACGGCGTCTGGAAAACACCCGAAGATGAGTGAACAAGCCATCTCCTTCGCCAAGGACTTCCTGGCTGGCGGCATCGCCGCTGCCATCTCCAAAACAGCCGTTGCTCCCATCGAGAGAGTAAAACTTCTGCTGCAGGTAGGCTGTGTTCTTCTCCCTGCAGTTAACTGACGTGTTATGACGCCTCAGCTGTTGATGCGGCATCCCTAAAACCGCTGACTAAGATCTTGATCTTATCTGATGGATGCTGCAGCACCAGGAGCTGAAAGTTGGGTTTTAAATAGTAAATGGCTGCAGCTCTGTCAAATAAGAATGAGCTTCTTTGAGGCGAAGCAGGGCAGTTATGTAATAATAGCCAGACTCAAAGCTGAGTGAGTTTGTTCCCTAACACTGGAGGAAACACAGTGTCCCATAACAGGCTGATGATCACCTGATGTGGTGTTTAAAATCGCCTCTCTCTCTAAAGTGTTATTAGTTTAGTTAGCTGGCAAGGTCATAGGAAGGGAAGGGCCAGGATTTTCAGCTGCTGCATAGGGGGCCTGGATGCAGCAGCCTGGGGAGGAGGAGGCGGGGCTGTGAATTATTGAATGGATGCCTAAAGAGTTGGTTCATCACATGCAAGCAAGTGCAGGGGAAATAAAAGAATCATGCAAAAATATGGCATTTTTTCTTTCTTTCTTCACAGGTGCAACATGCCAGCAAACAGATTACAGCCGACAAGCAGTACAAGGGTATCGTGGACTGCGTGGTCCGCATCCCCAAAGAACAGGGATTCCTCTCCTTCTGGAGAGGCAACCTGGCCAATGTGATCAGATACTTTCCCACGCAGGCACTCAACTTTGCTTTTAAAGACAAGTACAAGAAGATTTTCCTGGATGGCGTCGACAAGCACAAGCAGTTCTGGAGATACTTTGCAGGTAACCTGGCGTCCGGTGGTGCGGCGGGAGCCACGTCCCTCTGTTTTGTCTACCCCCTCGACTTTGCCAGAACGCGTCTTGCTGCTGATGTGGGTAAAGCGGGAGCGGAGCGGGAATTCTCGGGCCTGGGAAATTGCTTGGCGAAGATCTTCAAGTCTGATGGCCTCAAAGGCCTGTACCAGGGCTTCAACGTTTCAGTGCAGGGCATCATCATCTACAGAGCAGCCTACTTTGGTGTCTACGACACGGCTAAGGGTGAGTTCAGCTAACGTCGCCTTTCTCATTCTATGAGCTCTTCATCCTTCAGGGGAGAAGATTAACCTTTTGAATCGATGCATCTCTTTCAGGCATGCTCCCAGATCCCAAGAACACGCACATTATTGTGAGCTGGATGATCGCTCAGAGTGTGACGGCCGTTGCTGGTCTTGTGTCCTACCCCTTTGACACTGTCCGTCGTCGTATGATGATGCAGTCTGGTCGCAAAGGAGGTAAAAACTCCAAAATATTGGCTTTATAAGCGCTAAAATCTCTTATTCATGGCCATTAATGAGAATTTTCCCCTTTTCCTCAGCTGATATTATGTACTCTGGCACTCTGGACTGCTGGAGGAAGATTGCACGTGATGAGGGAGGCAAGGCGTTCTTCAAAGGAGCGTTGTCCAACGTGCTCCGAGGCATGGGTGGTGCCTTCGTGCTCGTCTTGTATGACGAGCTTAAGAAAGTCATCTAAGATGATTGGTGTCTCTCCACTGTTCATGTTGTTAAATTTATCTGTAACATATCTTGTACATTTGGAAGGACTTAAATACCTGAGCAAAATATGTTTATAGGGGACCAACTAGTATTTTTTTACTAGTGGTACCAGGGGAAGCTGTTATGCGTTTGTTTCTCGGCCCGTGTTTTTCCTAATTTCTTTTTGTTTTTGTCCCTCATGAGAATTTCATTCCCTAACTGCAAGAACTTTGCCAGATAAAGATAAATAAAGGCAACCTACTACGTTAACCTCCTGCCTGGTTTCGAACTGTGATGTCATGCATGACTGGTGTCCGAAGAAGCATCCGTTTGGCAACTGATAGTGAGAGCTGTAAGCGTAGAACTACAGGTTGTAGTTGGGAGGAAGCCAAAGTCAGCAGAGAAAGTTGACTTGCAGGTAATATTTCTAGACGCGCTTGCAGAGAGGGGACCGGCAGGTAGACTGGGAGCCAAACGTCTGAACTCGCTGTAGAGGAACGAATAGGATTATATGTGTTGGGGTTGGATTATTCCAACCCGCTAAATATAATTTGATCTCATGCTGTGCTCTTTCCGTCCGTCTGCGACCGATCAGGTGGAGGACTTTGTGACCTTGAGCTGATTGACCATTTAGGAATATGACACACTAAGTTATTTACCGTCACAGCCAAGATATCTGGTGTCCTTTAGAGCTAAGGGAGATGTTTTAGCTTTGATAAGCGTCTTTAAGTGTTGGATTTAGGTGTGCAGTTGATCTCATGCACCAAATTCCTCCTGACACATGATCCTTCCGGCAGAAAGCGCTGCAGGCTTTGACCTGATATTAGCTTGTGGCTGGAGAGGACGTAATGTACTCCTTGGTCTCTAACCAGGGTGTGTACTCTAACTTGTGTTGGTAGTATTTGCCCTTGCGCAGATGGTATAAATATGGGAGAGTTGTAGAGCAGGTTTTATTTTTTTAATTCCCTTTTAAAATAATGATCTAATGTAGCTGTAGCTTCCAGACACTTAATTAAATTCATTTAAAGATTAATAAAGTTCCAGTTGTTAAAGCTAAAAAAAAAAAAAACAATCTAAATTTTTATTGTGATATTAGGCAGGGTAATTTCAAAGTGTAGACTTTCATAGAAATTGGATCTTTAAATTCTGAGTTTAAGCATAAGCTTAAATCTGACCCTGTGAACTTGTCCTTTTTTTCCCAATGTGCTTTTTTTGATTGGAAAAAATAGCTTATCTAACCACATGAATTAATGCAGAGAAACGCTGAAGCTAAAGTAGAATGGACTCATTTTAGCAAACACTGAGGTTACACAATTTTCTCAGCTGGACTCTGTTTAATCTCATCTTGAACTTGACCCTTGGCCCACTGAAACCAGTTGACCGGCGCGTCACTGATCTCTCAGCAGGCGGCACGTTTTTAGCTCATCCCACGTTCGACAAGGATCAATGCTTTTTATAGTCTGCTTGTGCTGAGTGGCTAAGAAACACCCTGACTTTAGGTTCAGGAGTGGCATGAGTGGGGTTTAGACTAGAGCCACGCACCGTAACGCTGCAGACGTGGATCAGCGTGTACGCTTGGATCGACTCCAGGGTGTTGATGACCTCGGAGGATCTTCTGACATTGTTCAAGAAAAAAAAAAAAAGTCTATTTACCTTTTAAAAACAGTTTCAAAACAACCAACGTGTGATCGACTGCAGGGATACTTCTAGATTTTGTTTTCCTTTTTTCTGGGGATTTGAAATATATTTGTGAAATAAGGTATTTAAATAGAATTTATATGAGAAAAGCCTCACTTTGTTGTGTGGAATATTACTAAAGTGATTTTATTTTAGCTAATTTTCACTAAAGAATTGCAAAAACAATATTCAAATATTGGCTATCGTACACACCTGCTTGCCTAATTTTTTTCAAAAGCTGAAATCTGCCTTTGCAAAGATTATTCAGCCTAGAGACCCCAAATGATGACGTCATGATGCTGGTGTTCTCAGTCATCCAGGTAGATAGAAGCACACAGAGAAAACAGAATTAAATTATCTTTTAGAGAGAACTTTTTTTGATCTTTAGAAATCTGGTTCATCAAAGTTCCTAAAGGTCCCATATCATCTGTTTTGAAAAAAAAAAATTACATGTTTTGTTGTTAAAATGTTTATTTCAACAATAAAACAAAAGCAAATGAAATTTTGAAAGTGCTGATAAAAGAGTTTCATAATCTATAGTGAAACAAGCCTAACATGGGCTGAAAGCCATTTCACACAGAAACTCTAGTAGAGCTCATGACACCAAAAATAAAACTTAAATACAAAATTGACAGGATTATCTCAGGACATCAGACAAGTTGAAATCTTGGCCACTAATAGTTGTTCTGCATGGATATGACCCCAAGCACAGTTAGGGGTCATAATGGCGACAGAGTGCTTTAAGGAGTGCAAAGGCTATCATAAAACCCTGATCTGAATCTATATGAGCAGAGCTGAAAAGGTGTGTGAGCAAAGTGACCTACAATCCCAACCCAATTACAGCAGTCATGTTAAGAAGAATGGGCCAAAATCCCAGTAAATAGTCTGAATCCTGTGAAAGGATCCCCTATAAAAATTGACCCAAGTCAATGTTTTTCACAAATACTAAGGCAATTAAAGTAAATTTTTTATTTAGCTTAAAAAAAAGTCATCTGATAAATTAATTTCTCTCATTATTGTTACATTTTATTACATAGAAATACAAGCAGTTGTAAAGCTAGAAGGTTTTTAGTTTAAGTTAATTTCAGTCATTAAAACAATGTGAATGTGACTTTTTAGTTAACATTTTCATGATGAATCTTCTTTTTTGAATTACTCTTAAAGCAATCAACCCCATTACTTAAAACCATTTAATTAAATAGAACTCTTAGAATAAAAAAATCTAGAAAACTACTTTTTTTCTTTCCCTTTAAAATGTGCTTAGCAAAAATCTGTAGCACTAATCCATTATTAGTTCTGCAGTTACAGTTATGGATCTGTGCAGGGATCTGCTGATGCACTTCTAAAATAACCTACTGCATGAAACAACTTGGTTAGCAGATTGTCTATTAACATGCAAGACAACAGTGTGGCTACTCCCCCTGAGAGCTTTTTGTCAGCTGGGCTGTTACATAATATCAGCTGTTGGACTGTATTATGTCACAACATCATGGCAGTTCAGTGCTTTCCATACATGGAGGGGAAAACATATTATTCTGTCTATCCAATCAACAATATTAAAGTTCATTTAATACTTTTATTCTAATGATAATAAAGACTTAGAACACCTTATCTTTGTACATTATAGAAGCATGTATAATTGTCTTCCTGCCAGATGCTTATTTCTTAAAAGATTGTTTGACAATCACTCCTAGTCTCAATGCTAAGGTGAAACAATTACAGATGAGCTTAATCTCTTTTAGTTTAGGGCGCCCCCTTGTATATATATATATATATATATATATATATATATATATATATATATATAAAGGAAACATAAGTTATCCCACAGGTATCCTAGCCTGGGTGCCAGTCCGAACTTAGTCCCGCCCACAAGGTTTCTGACTAGAATTGAGTCGGACTAAGTCAGGCTACAGGTATCCCACACATATGCCACATTCAATAAATACTCTTCTTTCAGATTAAGATAAAATAAAACAAAATACAGTCTTAGAGTCTGAAGCAAATGGGGAGAGGCTACGAATCAATAGACAAACTAAGGAGTATCATCAAAGAGGAGGATGGAGGACTGAAACAGCAACTGAACATATGAATTCTGGGTCATCAGGTAGCAGAAGTTAAGAAATCATCCTTACACAGGACTGCTACCTGTGGAAACCAATATTGTTTAACACAACATGAAAATAGAATATTCTATATGAAACTCTTTTCATTTTTTCCAAAATAAAGTTTTTTTTTTTTTTATTGGTTCTGCAGGAACATTGCTGTTAGACATATAGAGGGATATTCTACAATCCAGATAAAAACAACCCAGTTTTAAAGTGAATGTATGTTCGTTTAAGAATATTAATTACAAATGCATATATCTTATTCAGTTTCTAAGTTTTTAAAGTATACATACCAGCCTTGTTATTGAGATCCGGTCATGTAATTATGTGCTGCCTTAGGGTTTAGAATTAATTTTTAGAGAGCAAGGATGATGTTCCTTAAGGCTAAAGTAAAAATCTGGTATTTTCTCTTTGAGACAAAAAAAACTAAAATAAAACTAAATAATCACAAAAGGCAATCAGAAAGATCCAATAAACTCAGAAAGGATGCTTAGAGAAATATGAAAAAACATCTGTTTTTCTTTCTATTTTTATTCAAATACAAAAACCCCAGACTGCACCTTTATTAGGTTAAACAGCTGTACAGGTTATCTTTATATGGCAACTTTTTCAAGGTTAAAAACCTGAAATTCCCCCATCAGAGGAAGAAAGAGACCCAGGAGGTAATCCTTTCATTACCTGGAGACTGCTTTACTGAAATGTTAAGTCATCTACAAGGATAATCCAAATATCATTTCGGGAAAATGTTTCTTTGATCAGAGGAGACACAAATCAAACCTTTTACAGACTGATGAGAAACACTTCATCTTTATCTTAAAACTCAAAGCAGTTTAAAAAAATTAAATTTTTCTTTTTCTCCTGAAAATAGTCCATTATTTAAACAGGCAGCCTGCAGTTCAAGCTGACCTGCTGTAGAGTATCAGCGAGATCATAATCATGACAGCAAATCAGTAATGAGAAGTAACCATGGCTTGGGCTCTTCTCAGCTTTTATCAGTAGAAGAAAGAACAGAAGTAGAATGGTACCAAAGAATCCAAATAACAGAATAGATAATGTCTCTCATAAGGCTTTCGCCCAGAATCTACAAGAACATGTCAGCAGTGAATCACACCTTTAATAAAGGCCCATTATTTCTCTCATTTTGTCTACATCATCCATCAGCAAGGTGTTGTTTGCACTTCAACTAGATTTTAACCAGAATGCCTTTTTAGAAAGGGATTTGAAAAAAAAAAACACATTAGGATTTTTAAGCAATTACTCTAGGGATAATTGCTCTAGAAAATTATGCAAATCTATAGTAATGAGGCAGTCTGTTTTTTTTATTTACATAATTAGTTGGTTAGTAGATTAAGTCGATTTTTAAACCATATCTGTCCTTTACAGAAGAGTTCAAACTGTTCAAAATATGGAAAGAGGGAAATAGATAATACATTTAAGTTTCTAAAGAATACATTTGAATAAATCATTTATTAAATTCTTGATTAATTGATTCAACTAAAAACTCGAGGGAATTATATTTTAGATATTTTGTAACTGCTTTACTTAGTAAATTATTCAAATAGCTTTAAAAAAATCCTTCTGTTTAAGGAAAAAGACATTGATAAAAAGGATTTGGCTTTCTTTTTAAATAAATACTCTTTGCAAAGTGTAAAATAAACATTACATCAAGCTGTGAAAGAAGAGATCAAAGAAAATAGGTTAGTTTTCTTTTTTTATCAAACCTGAATGTTTCAGATCATTAAACGACTCTGAATATCAGAAAAATGAGAAATAGACACACTGAGGGAAAAGGGTTTTCCAAACTTACCTGATATTTTCTAACAAATAATCACGACTCCTGGGTTGTTTCAGAACTGATCATGCTCTGACTCATACACCTATGAATCCACCTCTCTTGCATGAAAATCCAAAGAAGAATATTGGTCTATGAGTTTGGGACTTTAAGCTTACATGCACTTCGGTTATGCTGCAGAACAATAATGTGAAGGACACCGACATGCCATGAAGGTTTTATACTGGAATCTCCCCTTAAATAGTTCATTCTTTAAACTTTTATAAAGAGGCTAAAATAAAAAACTGTGTGAAGGATGGGCTAATTTTTTTCCAGAATGATAAAAAAAACACTAACTTTAAAATCAGAAATGCTGGATGGCAAGTAGGGTCACCAAGAGGCATGCAATGCTTATTTGGTTTATGGGATGATCTTTTTTTTTCTTTCAACAAGCTTATTTTTGGATTTAGAAATAAAATAATTTGAAAACTCTATATGGTTTCTGCTGTGGTAAGCTTGGCAACATTCTACCAAAATTATATGATATGAAATCTCATCAGCGTGACAAAAAATAATATTTCCGGCATTAATTGGGCGCATAAAAATACTCATTTAGCGGTGGTTCACAATTTTAGTCATTTGTCAGGAGTACAAAAAATATGATGGGGTTTGAGCTTGTTTACACTTTATAAATGATGACCTTACAGCTCTCACTATTGTCCATTTTACTGCACTTCATTAAGATAAATGCTCAACCAGCTGTTTTATGTTACGATTTGTTTATGCTGAGAATGTTTTAATACAGCAAGTTGTGAATAGGTATTCACCAAATTTGAAAGGGTGGGGTCAACGCGTTTTTATGGGGGCACAGAAAAGCTTTATATCCAAAACAGGGCAATAATTTATTATTTGAAATATATATATAGGGGGGCAACAGAACCAACCTGCTACTTGTGGAGATATCTCCACTTTATTTATTTTAATTAAAATATGTTGTTGCAATTGAAAATGTGTATTTTTGGCTTTAAAATGTTAATTTTAGTTCATATTGAATAAAAAAATGCCTTAAATTGGAAACAGTAAATTAGATAATTGGTTGCTAAATAAATATCTCTTCTTTGGAATATTACATTCATAATCCGAAAACATTACATATTTGTTTGACTTGTTGCAAATTAAAAATTTGCAGTTTTATTCAATGGAAGTAAAACTAAAGTAAAACTGATAAATTCAGCTGTAACGAATCAGTTTTTTTTTTATTTGGTTCAAAATAACATTTAGCAGATGAAAACTATCACATTAATTTTCAAATCTTAAGTGAAACACAATTATAAAGAGAGAGAGAAAAAAGGAAATGGTCAATATATGTGCTCCAGTATATCATAATTAGATTGTTTTTTTTTAGCTTTATGTCTTCAGTACAGAGGCCTTAACAGGGATCAGGGCCAGTTCCACAGAAGCACTGGCCCCTGTAAAAGTCCCTTGTCCCAGCTACAGTAAAATATGGTTTGGAAATAAAATTAAATGTTTGTACGTTTTGGGGGGAAAGGGTGTCCAAAAACAGTATGATTTGCACACGTGTTAGAATTAAATGACAATGTTAAAAAAAAAAATGGCTCAGTTTGAGTGACTTTTTTATTGTAATGTCAATGTCCAGCCTCTAGATGTCGCGCTTTCATCGTGTAAAACTGGCAGGCGAGGACTCCCCGCAGCCAATCACAGCCCCGCGTTTTAACCAGCTTGATAAAGTTTGCTTTTTCCGCCGTTTGACAGAAGTTCAAAGAGCTAAACACGCAGATTGACTTCTTCTTCTTCTTCTGCGGGAACTTGAACATGCCGTTAATCGAGTCAGATGCCGCTTCCTCCAACGCTTATCGACTAAAAGTCAGAGCCGCTGTGGAGAGGAGCCCGCTGTGAGTGAAGAAGATGTATCTGCTGCGCTTTTCCATCGCTGTAAGCTTCGGCCTGCTTTGGTATTTTTCAGACTGCGGTCGCACAGTAACGCAGTACGTTATTTGTTTCCTGTTTTGCGTTTCAACGCCGCTGTTTTTTGGAAACAACGGGAGAGAGAGCGGCACACAAACTGATGAAGAGAGTAAAGAACATCCGCTTCAGGTGGGCACACATTTAAATTACAGCTTATAACCTGTTGATATGAAACCGGGCTCAATATTAAAGCTAATTTGCACTTAAGTAGCCATTATGCTCTCAGAAATGTTAAATTTAAAATGATTTCCACAGGTGAAACACATTGAGGGAATTAAACTGATACATTTGGGGTTTTTTTCTCCAAACTTTTACTATTAACTTCCTGATTTCTGTTCTGTTTTCCAGGAATCTGTCGATGAAGAGTCATGTGAACTGATTGATGGGGGGTCCCTGGAGCAGAACATAACGCTGACTTCTCCATGTCCACATGTGAAGAAGTCCCTTCAACGAGGTGAATAATTTTTTTCATCAGTGAAAAACAAGCACTCAGCTGTTTCAGTCTGTGGGAAGTTTTTGTTTCAAGGCTATTTTGATGTCTAAAGTCACAGTTCTGCTCCTGATTTCAGCCTGTTTGCTCATCAGTTCTGTTTTGACTTGACACACAGTGAGGGAAGATGGTTCACAGCTGCAGCTCATGTTACATGCTGGGGTAGGTGTGGTCCATTGCAGGGGTGGAGCTAGATGGGGGGGCAGGGGTGGCCATTGCCTGTGGCCAGGGTCAGACTGTAAAAGATTTTCGGCCCTGGCATTTTTCCATCTACACCGCCCCCCCATCCCGAAAAAAAAAATAAAAAATATAGAAGCGCAGTCCAATGTGTGAGTCTCAAATGTGTGACACAATACGGATACACATTGTGGATTAACTAGTCTATCTTCAAGCATCACACGACAATCATCACAAAGATGTCTATAATGCGGTTTTACTGGCTTTGGTTATTAACACGGACGCGGCAGTGACTGCTACTGCGTAACGTCCACATTTAGGGTTTGGAATTGATACGATTTTCATGATTCCATTCCCTTATCGATTCTGTGAAACGATTCGATTCCTTATCGATTCTGTGAAACAATGAACTTGGTAAGAGCACGCCTTTGCCTGGGACATTCTATTTCTGCCTGCCTCTGCGAAAACAGAAGGCAGCCTCTGAGCCAGCCAGGCTATCCGTCTCGTCACAACCATCCAAATCTATTGGAGAAGGCATCTGTTTAATTAAAAAACATTACTGTACAATTTCGGGAAATAAACTCATCTCCCCCTGATTTTAATAAACGAGTGTCTCCTTTCTCTCGCTCCCTGAACTGTGGAGCAACTTCGTAGCATGTTTAATAACCCCAAAAAGAGGTAGGAAATTGGTTTATTTCCAGAAAGGGTATACAATTTACTAGGAACCACATGAAGCACAGCCAGTGATATAAAACTAGCTACTTACCACCAGAGTTGCCTTCCATGCTGGTCGTAACTTTAGCTTCTGTCCAGATGCCGTGTATGCCATGTTGTGTGCGAAGGGTTTCTGCATGTTGGATGTATTTCCTCCCGCGGATGTAATTGCCACTTTACATCCAAACTTTCGATCGGTTTACCCGATTGGATGCCATTTGAAACATTTTTTTTTTACTTTTCTAGACTTACGCCTGGTCACGTCAGACTTGCTTACTGAATGCTGTGTGCGTAGCTTGCGTAAAAAAACATGACATAACTTGCGTAGAAAACGTGACCTAAGTCCTGCTGCCCAGCGCTAGGCTCTGGTGCTGCCTGGAACCGTTAAAAGAACTGTTAAGCGAGCTGCCAAATGGTGCCATGGAACTGGAACTAACAGAACCGGCTCTGAACAGGAACCGGTTTCCAATTCCCATCCCTATCCACACTTGCACAAAGGCAGCCAGACACAAACTCGCACATACTAGGTCTACAACGTAAGCCCGAGTGTTGTAAAAACACCAACATAAAACAATACAATATAGAGGCAGACAGGCAGTTCCTTAAGAATGAATCCATGAAAGCTGAGTGGTGTGTAAGCATTCACTGCCATGCTAGGTGGGATGTGGGCAATGAAACGGAATAATTTAAAGAGATGCAAAACCCCATCATGCACTGCAACATATTTTTGCAAAATATTCTAACATAAATTCGCCAAATATAAGAGCAGCATCGTTTTTGGTTTAAAGAAAGCATTTTAATTATATCATAATTTAGTTTGTTGCAAGGATTTCATAGTTTGAAGAAATAGAAAATTACACCATATGCCAACAAGGATGTGCATGACAAGGAAGGGTTATATATACTTCAATTAGATAGGTAAGATTGTATTACATCTTGAACACCTTGGTAAATTATATTCACAGGTAGGTGGCCGGACCTACCATTTTTTTTTTTACCTCTAATACAGATGGTGGCAACAGTAATACTCTCAATTGGAAAATTAAAAACATTTAAATTTTTCATATATTAACATTTACATACACTGTGGTTAATTATGCACATCAATGTACTGACGTTAAAGATAAGTACAGAATTCAAGCTCTTTTCAGAACTACATTTTATGTTATATGGAGTAAAGAGGAAATTATTTCTCTCTGCAAATCATATAGGAGTATTCAGTGAAATCATAGATAACTATTTTAATAAAAAGGTATTAAATAATCAATTTATGTAGATATACGTACTTGTAAATATAATTTTTTTGCAGAATGATTATTAATAAAAGTAACTGACAATGGAAAATATGTTTGCCCCAGAACTCAAACCTGAAACAATTGTATCCACTACACCTTTTATCTAGGAAGATGTTTAAATATATGTGTCTATTTTTTAGCAAAGGCCGTAGGAAAGGATATTATGTTTTTATTTAGAAAATATGGACATTGTGCTCATTAATTTTCCAGTTGGACAGTGTAGATTTACCCAGAGGTTCTGGCGCCTATCCACTTTCAGCCACCCCTCAGTGTATATTGGTTATTTCCTGGCCACCCTTCTAAAAATGTTCTGGCTACGCCTCTGGTTCATCGGAGGAAGGAAGCAGCGAAAAAAGCCCTCCCTCGACAGAGATCGCATGTACTCCATGGCAGTGATGGATCTGGCAGGAAATATGCTGCATATTATCATAACATTATCAGCCGTGTTTGCATTTGCATCAGTTTCTTTCACAATAATCAAATTGACTCGTAGTGATCTCATTGGTCTTAATGAGATGACTTCCTGAAAGTAAAAAAAAATGGATTTGATGCAGCACCATGACTGGAAAGCACTGAGGTTTAGAGGAAAGATTAATAGCTTTAAGATTTCAACTAGGGCTTCATTCATTCAATTATAAACAATCATTTGCATGACTGAAACAAACCCTGCTGAGCTGTTTTACATGACTTATGAAACGTATGTTTCATTTTCTCACAAATTTTCTATTACACCTTGAATTCAATTACTGCCATCAGTTTATTTAACTTGGAACAAAACAAGGTTTTCTTCATCATGAAAACATTCTTAGACGTATATATGCATAAAATAAATGCTCTTAAAAGTGCAAGTAATGAATCAACATGCTTTTATTAAGTTCAGTTTGACTTTTTATGGTTAACTTGAATTATTTTGAGGTCAGTGATTAAGATTGTTCTCTCAAGGTAAGGAAAATGGTATAACTATATTTGTTAAACTTCAAACCACTTGTCGCATAATAACAGTCAACTTAACTTTTACCGATACCAAGTCATACTTTTTTGGAAATAATAAAGTACATCTAAAAAATGTTTACTTTTTAAACATATAACGATCTTTGAGGCATATAGTGACCCCCACCTGCTGTTATCTTCACCATTTCTGTGCTGCCCTGTTCATATCTGACAGATTTAAAGTGAAACAAAATGTAACCAGACTCTCCTCCTGTCTTCTGTGAGCCATATCCCCTTCCTCTTCTGATCTAGCATCAACATGCGCTCTGCTTGATACCGGAACAAGAGGACAACATTGTGTGTGCTGGTTTACAGCTGGTATTAGAGTTTGTCTCTCATGATAATAATCTAAGTCACTCGCTGTTCATGCAAATGAACACATAGGAAAGCCACACACAGGAAAGGCAGAGCAGCTAACAGCCAAGAGAGGAATGATGATTCTGATTAAATTCAGTCTATAGCACGGTATAGATTCACTCCAGATGCCTTTTAAACTACTGATGGCTTGATGAGATATGTTACGTGAACTGTTAAAGTGAAAATACATTCAGGGGCATTTAATGACTTGTGATTCTAAACTTAAAGGACAGAAGTCTGGCAGTTTTATTCCTGTTTTTATTTCGTTTTACTCATCTGTAGCGTAGCAGCACTGATCCTTTTCTTTCTGAGATTGCACAGCCTGAATGTTAACTCAGATCATTGGAGATTTTTTTTTTTTCGTTTAAGCAAATGTGCATTATAAATACTCTTGGGATAGACACTTATTGTAGCATTTATCATTGCCAGGAAAAATAGAAAGATGGGGATATAAGTCATCTTTTCAGAGGAATGGCTAACTAAAGCCTACAGATCATGTATCTTTATTGTTGTCTTTGTGGTTTAAAAATACTTGAAGTATTTTTTATGATTGTTTCATACTTTGATCGCTGTGTTCTAAATATGAATAGAGTTTTAAACTTTTTCACCTTTTTAGCAGCAGACTTGCAGTTTTGAAAGTAACAGTTGGATATCAGAAAGGTGTTTGTTTCTTTGGAGTCTGACTACACTGTGAAGGATCTGTTGCAGAAAAAAACACCTCATGCAATTTTTAAATGCCAGCTTTTTTCGGAATCACAATAATTTCTAGAGAACCTAGATATCTAAAGACTGATTAAAATAAGACTGTTTCTCGACTGAATAATCAGATCTCCAGTTGCTTTAATTTTTAAGTCTCAGGCCCATGTGAAAAGATCAGGTTGTCTAATAATCATACATTTCTTGAAATTAGAAATGCATCCATTTAAAACTTCAAAACATAGTGACATGTTTAAAATGTCAGCTCTGTATTGCAGTGTCATGCATTCAGCCTCTCTGTCTCCAACATATCAGATTATTCTAGTAATCAACTCCTCATTACCTGATGTCTGTTTGCTTTGGAAGCAAACAGACATTAACACTGCTTTTCTTTCCTTTTTTTTTAGAGCAGAACTACCAATTGTATCACATCGTCTCAAAATATAAGCCAGCCTTCCCTCAATCACCTGCTCTATGTTATTATTCATACATTAATATTGTTCACAGTAGCCTCCATCTACCGGTAGGTAAAAATCATAGTTGACAAGCATCACTAAACAGATCAATTGCAATTTCTGTTAGAGATATTTCTATACATTGAATATTACTTGAACCATAGTAGAGTAATAAATAGAGTAATATAAATGCATGCCACAAATGTGATTTTATTATTCCATAGTAGAGTAATAAAACCACATTTGTGACATGCATGCTGCTGATTGTGTGGAGTTTGATAATTTATTGTAAAGGGTGAGCTAAAAGTGAAAGTGACGTGGAGTTCAACAAGTGAGGTAATTATTTAAAGAAGATAGAAGTTGTTCCAGGAAAAGGGCAGCAAAAGTGTGATGTTGCTGTTAAACAGACATTCCCTTTAAAAATCAGACTGTGTCGTTCTAGACATTCAGAAGAACAGAGGATGTTGATTGAGAAGCTGATTGGAGAGGGAGAAATGTAGGAAGAAGTCCAGAAAAGTCTTTGCAGCTCAGCTAAATTACCTCAATGATAGACCTGAGAGAAGAAAAAACCCAACTACTTTTTAAAGGGGTTTAAGATGGAAAAATGAAAAAAATATATATATATACGGTATATATATTTCAGACTGAACCAAGAAACGTCCAGGAAGAGTAGTTATTCTTCCAACACTGCACTAAAGATACTTGGTGACTTGCAAAAAGAATAAAATAATCAAAGTGCACGCTTTTGAAAGAAGGTAGAAAAATGGTTTGGTCTACTTTTTTTAACATCTCTGTCCTGGCTAAGGTTGAAATGTTGAGCTCCACCATTTATGACCTCAGGAGTGAATAAAGCCTAATGTGGTAGAAATCTTCTAGAACAGGATTTGCATCTGCTGCAGTTTTCTTCCAGTTAAAAGGGATTTTTTTCTCTCTACTGTTGCTACATGCTTGCTCTGTATGACGGGTTGCTGCAAAGCCAGTGACACAATGCTACGCTTGACCAACCAGTCTGTCTGACCTGGTTAAAATGAATTGTGTGAGTAGAGTTCAGACGAAATGTGTTGTAAATGGGTGCTACATAAATAAACTGAACGGAAGATTCAGTTTTCCCGTGGCTCAACATTACAGTTGTGGAATGAAAGAATCATTATAACAAGCCTGATATAGTAATTCCCTAAAGATGAGCTGGAGAATGTTGCCTGGGAGAAACGGTCTGTCTCTGCTGAAGCTGCTCCTACTGTGACCCGTGTCTGAGAAGATTTACTTAAGTCTCTGGAGATATGAAATCTTTAAGGACTTAGTAGCCAAAACAGAGAGTTGCTAGGACGACAGTGGTTAACTTGGTGTGAAAAGGTATGGTTTAACAATAGCAGTAAAACAGAAATTTAACATGTTCCATTTATCTCCAAACAAGGAATGTAAACATTATCACCTAAATTACAATGGACACAATGATGTCATGTGGAACATTTATTCAAATTTAGATGCATATGTAGAAAAATATAGTAATTTCTAGGGATGCACAATATAATCGGCCCCCTATCAGTATCGGCCTTAAAGCTGAATATCGGACATCGGCCACCCCACCGATATTTAACCCGATATTTGATCAGCTTCTGAGTTTCTAAAGTCTAAAAAAAAAAAAAAAAAATACTACTTCTTCTTCTTCCTCAAAAACTTCTAAAGACGAGGGAAAAAATATTGATACATTAAAATATCACAATATCTTCATATGCTGATATATTGCCATTTAAAAACACCATATCAATCTCTTTTACTAAAAAAATATTGTTATATGTCATCGTTATGCTACGAAATCCCCCGAAAATTCACGGAATTTTGCCATATTTTTATATGTTGATATATTGACGCGGTATCGATCTATTTTACTAACAAAATCTCACAAGAATTTGCAAAATATCACGAGAGTTTGTAACAGAACGATGAAATTTCACGAGATTTTGAAAGTAAAATAGATCGATACCGCGTTTTTAAAAATCAATTTGATATCAGCATATGAAAATATATTTGAGTATATTATTTTTCAAAGTGTCAGAAATGGATAAAAAAACTGCAATTTTCAATGACTACTTATTTTTGTCCAGCTTTAACATCAGTATCGATATCGGTTATCGGCTACATGAGTTTTAAAATATCGGCATATCTGATATCGGCCAAGATCCCAATATCGTGCATCCCTAGTAATTTCAATTCAATTTATTTACGTAGCACTGATTCACAACACGTCATCTCAAGACACTTTACAGATACAAGTCAACCAGATCATGCAGTCAGATCGTTCAGGTTCAAAGTTTTTTATCTAATAAAAATTTGTTGATTGCATCATCTCATTGACTTGACGACAATCCCACACACCAAGCATGCTTATAGCAACAGTGGAGAGGAAAACTTCCTTTAAACAGAAAGAAAGCTCCAGCAGAACCAGGCTCAGTGTAAGCGGCCATCTGCCGAGTCCGACTGGGGTTCAAATCGACAGAAGCAGGGATAGAAAAGGTAACTGGACTACACTGGGGAAAAACAGGCCAGGCTCCAACATCTATTAACAAAGGTGTTGATGGCAGCAGTACAGCTGATCTCTCCGGGCTGGTGTCACAGCCAAATGAAAACAGACCAAGTGAAGCTACTATGATGAGAAAAAGCAGAGAGCCTAGCCTTAACAAATACCATAGAATGGGAGAAGAGATGGAAAGAAGCGGAATGATGAAAAGGGGTCCCTATGTCCTCCAGCATTCTAAGCCTATAGCAGCATAACTTTAGAGATAGCATAACCTGAGCCACTCTAACTATAAGCTTTATATAAAAAAAAAACTTTTAAGCCTACCCTTAGAAATTCTAGGAACCACTAGTAAACCTGCAGTTTGAGAGTGAAGTGCTCTGTTAGAAACAGAAGAAATAATCATATCTCTGATATAAGATGGAGCTTGGTCATTTAAACCTTTTTATGTGAGAAGGAGGATTTTAAATTCTGCTCATGATTTAACAGAAAGCCAATGAAGAGAAGCCAGGATAGGAGAGATATAATCTCTCTAATTTTCCTCAGAACTCTGGCTGCAGCATTTTGGATCAACTGAAGGCTTTTAACTACAGTTTGTGAACTTCCTGATGGTATAGAATTACAAAAGTCCAGCCATGTAGTACCAAATGCATAAGTTTTTATTCAGAACATGGTAACTTCATGTGATTTTGCTTTTTTGCTGATAAAAGACTGGAAAGTTTGGTCAGAGTTAAAAGGAAGAATGATTAAAGGAGCTCACTGGTTGTCGGCCATAAATGGCAGAACAATCCTTAGTTCAGCCGGACTTCCCTCCCTGTTTCATAGAGATCTCTCACCTGAAAGGCTTCTGCAGTTCTAGATTTGAAGTATCAGGCTTATAAACTGTAGTTAGAACAGCAGTTCACAAGATTTTGGGAGACAGCAAGAGGTGGTTTGGGAACCACTGTATGAATAAATGACTGATAACGGAAATAAAGTCACTAATAATTAGGAATAGACTAAATAAACAAGAGAAAAGGGTGAATTACTCTGAATATAAACTAGAGAAATGGAGGCAATGCAGTGCTCTTTTAAGCTTCAACAGAGAGGTTATACATGACGGGAAAAACTGTCAGAGACTGTTACTGGTTTTCTTGTGTGAGGGCACCATTATCTGATGTCACCATGCTGGTGTTTCTTTGTGCTGCAGAACATGTCAAAGTGACTTTCACACCATGGGCAAGACTTTATAAAAATGTTCTTTTATGCGTTAAAGACCAAAGCTCTCTTAAGTTTATGTTCATCCCACAAAGCCCAAACTGTTCAGAGGAGAATCTTTTCATGAATATTTGTGCCTGGGTTTGAAATTATGATTATTTTAACCTGAAGTTGTTCTGACTGTTTTAAATAAATGCAAATGAAATAAATAAATAGCTTGAAATTTGAACCAGCTTCTATTTTTTGTTTTTATTTTTTTAATATTGATGTGCAGGAGGTGTGCGTGGGATTATTCTACTGTGACTCACTGACTTTGTGACAAATCTTCTCAGTGTTCGAGTGCGCCTACGCTCAGCTGGTTCTGCCTTGGTACGGCGTCCCTGAGCCCTGCGAGCAGCAGCCTCTGCACAAGGTGCTCAGCAGGGATTTCGACTTTGTAATCGACCGCATCATCGACAGAGCCAGGGACTTTGATGTTTGCCAGGCCGTTGTGGGCTCCATTAAGATTTTGACGCAGCACTTGCATAATGCAAAGCAGTCTGACCGGTAAGACTTTTCCTCTTTCTTGTAATGTATATAGAAATTCCTGCAGCTGCTACTTCGGTTACTCTTTGGACCCAGTAAAACGTCTTGATTCCAGGAAATTCTTGTTACTTTAACAACACAGCACAACAACCTGTGGTTGTGCTGTGTTGTATTACATTTAAGATGTTTTGTTTTTGTCACTTAAATGCTTGATCTCATCAAATTTGTCCATCGGACAAAAGTAACCAGAGTAAAAACAAACTGTGATATGCAAATAAGAATTGAATTTATTGGGTGCATAAAAGCTTTCCAAACTAACATAGCCCAGAAACCCGCTGGCTTATGCCAACAGTTGGGCAGAGTTTACAACAACTAATAGTCTTTAACTCACCGAAAGTATCTCAATTGGATCCAAGTTCAGACTTTGACCAGACCACCCAAAATATTTATTTATTTTCTTCTGGATGTATTCATAAGTTGAATTGCTTGTCTTTGGGATCAGCGTGCTGCTGTATAAACAGTGTGCAAAGTCACAATCTGATGGCAGGACATTGTTCCTCTGGTAGGGAAGTGATTTATGGTTCCATAAAATCAGCTCCACATCATCACGATGTTTTAGTTTTATAAAGCAGGATGCATACCCTTTCAAATGTTTTAACTCATTGTTCAACAGATTTTTTTTTTAGCTTATACTCCTAAAGAATATTAAAATGTATATTGTTAGCTAATTTGAGATGGGATTTTAGGTATATTTTGTCCAAATAGTTTCTCTACTTGGAATTCCTCCATGTATGACTCTTTTCCTCAGTTATAGGTCATAAAATAGTCTATCTTTTAGCAGATGGGGAAAGACAGTTAAATCTTAATGTTAGGGTTGCCAGCTTGGTTTGGATATCTTTTTTTTTTTCTTTATAAATAACAATCTCATTAGAACGCAAAAAAAAAAATAATCTAGCATCATTTGGATTTGTTAAAGCATATTTAGTTATTTTAACTCCTTAATGACTTAAAGAGGACATGATAATATTGTGAAGATGAAATGACAAGACAAAAAAGCAGTTTGCATCAGTCAATCTACCTAAGCTTATCTTGTTTATCTGACATTACTGCTTAATGTACTTGGAGAACCTAAAAATGTATAGATACTACATGATATGAAAACATTGCATATTAGCATTTTTAGTTTAACCGTACTGAAACTGAATGAATCAGTTTAAGCAGGCATCCTAAAACTAAATATGAGGCATGAGGTCACAAAATTAGATTAACAAAAAGGCAGCATCCTTATATTTCTGAGACAGATGTGACTTCATGTTCAAGAAGACTTTCAAAAACGAATCAATATTAATACAAGGTGAGAAATTAATTTTTCTGCAATTATCTTGTCAAACAGAATGGGCGGTTGTTTATATCGGTTGATATGGCTAGATGCTTCATCTTTTAATGAAAGCTGCATCAGAGCTTATCTTTTTCTAATATTAGATTTTTTTAAAACAAAACATGGAAGTTTGAGAGAATCTGTAAAATATGATCAAATCTGTTAGAAACGCGCCAATTACTCTTTGTATCGGTTCCTATATTGAAGAAAAATTTAGATCAGGAATTAATGAAAATTGGTTTCGATCCATGAGAGGCAAATGAATTCAATCTATTTTTGTAAGAAATGTAAGTTAGTTTAAATCTCTTGAACAGCATCTCTTTATTGGATTCTTTCTTTGTAATAACTTAAGTCAGTTTGACATCTGCTTATTTTTTCTCTTAATATGGTTTATTGTTTTTATGACTTCCCTCCCTGACCTTTATGCTTATCTCAGGTTGTGTTTTGGGATATTCATGTAATCTTTATATTTATATATGCACTCCTGTAGAGAGACATGTATGAAGGCCTAAGTGATGATGAGCAAACAGAGCTCAGGTATCGTGGTTACGTACCGGCATCTACAGATTTCCACATTTAATTATTGGAATTGGGTGGGAAGTGAATACATTTGGATCAGTGAATCCCTAATATCTGTAAGGGAGCATAATGCAAACAACTGTATGTGAATCACGATTTTAGGTGCTCATGAACATTCAGACTCCTGTCTCTGTTTTCTGTCTCAGAGACCCCTTGTTCAGCTCCGCTGCTCTGGAGATGGCGGTTCTCAGAGAGCTTTCTGACGCTCTGGTGCGCAACCTTTTCCCAAGATCTTTCTGGGGGCATAAAACCAACCATTGTGCCTTAAATGAGATCATTGCCTTAAAGGGTAAGGAAGTGCTTAATCTTCTCTCATACAGTAACACAGTGCTATACAAGGACTAAGCCTCTTGACGTCTTTTCAGAGTGTGAATTCTGTGTAATCCCTTATCGTCAGCCGCATTATAGAGCTTAGAGAGGTATTTTAAGGTATGTAAAAGAATGGATTTTCCTGCTGTGATCCTCCAGTTTCCTTTAGGGTTTTGTCATTTTTTTCTAGCTGTGGATATAATTTTTTTTTATCTCATGACTCTTGCTGCAAGGAAAGGTTTTAGTTTTCATCTGAAGGCAGCTCAGCAGGTCTGTCATACTGAGTTGCCTGCTGGTGCTTTTTTCTATAGTTTTTCCAACATGAGCAGAACTAGGTCGAATCAGGAGCACGCATATAAATTTAAACACGGCAAGAATGGAAACTAGTGCTTATGTGGATCCGTTGTTAAATGGATCGATTAGGTCATGTAGAGGGAAAGATGGAAATACTTTTCTTTTTTTTATGAAATGCAGGAAGAATCACTAAAATGTTTTAAAAACCTATGAAACGGGGAAGTTTATTTGGCGATTGCTCTCTTAACATCTTTGAATCACCAACTTTTCTTCCTTTTGGCTGCTGTAGTGATGCTCAATCTTTTACAATAGTCATTGTTTTGTATATTACCTGTGTATCTATAAGAGAGAAAGCTCCAATAAAAGATGCTTAGGGTACAGCTAAAGCCCTATTCTCTAAACATTTAGATATTAACTTCCACTGCTTGTGGGCTTGTTTTTAACTTGTTTGTTTTTTTTTAATGGGGAAAAAATAGTTATAAAGGGTTGGCATCTTACCGCCTTACAGTAGTGATCCTAAAAGTGAATTGAAAGATTACATCTTTCTTCCTCTTCTTTTTTTTCTAAAGCTACCAGCCATGTCTCAGAAGTGCAATTGATCCTTAACGAGCACATTGCCGACTTATTCTGCTCATGCACACATTTTCTTTCATGTTGCCGGTTTGATAAAAAGAGGAACGTGTGGCTCCTTTAATCTCAAGCTGGAAACAAGACAGATTATTATGAGGATCAGAGCTCTTCAATTTTCAGAGAGAATTGCAGAAATTGCTGGGGAATTATGCATACCTGAGTGGAAATATCTGTTTCTAACATTTTGTTCAGGCCCCTTTCGCGCTGGATTAAGACCCACAGCATCAAGCATCAGCTAGACAGTGAATCTTTTGGCTCTATCTGCTGCATATGAAGTGGGTAGTCGGCTCTCCTTTTTATGCATAATGAGCCCCTTTTTTTTTTCTCAATATGCTTTAAAGACTCTGGGTTTGAGTAGTTTTTCTGTTTTGTTTGGGCCCTAAGTCTTAGCGGTACTCTATTCGCTGGCCACAGATCTACTAAGTTATTGCAGCCCACCTAATGCGAAACATTAATCAGACAAGATTAGCATAACATTAGGGTGTCTCTGGAGGAGCTACAGAGATCCGCCACTGCAGGCTGGAGCCTCTATAGGCTGGAAAATATATTTTTTTATCTACTCATCAAATATGGCCTTTGTATGAAAGTGGCAATAGGAAGTTTTCTGCTAAAGATGAGTCATGAGAAATCCTGTGTAGGGAACTAGGACACTTCAGAGGCTCCAGCAATAAGGAAATACACCAAATATGGGAATTAGGAGAAAATAGCCAGTCTAATGGCCAATCTACCTGTTGATTGGCCAATCTATCTGTTCAAATATGTGGTAGGTAATATGCAGAATGGCCAATCTACCTGTTCAAATATGTGGTAGTTAATATGCAGAATGTGAATTCTGCATATTAACCACACACAGAGAGTTTGTTATACGCTACATTGTGTGCGTCTCTATAAAGAGAGCAGTGGTGGTAAGGCGCTCTGGCCAGCTAAGACCAAAACTTTTATCTGACAACAGATGCTTGTTGTCTGGATGCGTTTCTTCAGACGAAGAAGGGAAGCTTGTTAGAAAGGATGGGGAGGATGGATGCAGCTAAAAACAAAAAAATGTGTGATTAAAACCTTGTCGAGGTATCAGATTGGTGCAGAGGTTCACATTTCTCAACTAGCAAATAACCCAAAAATGCAGCCAGAGCCACAATTAAATTTTTATATTTAAATATTTATTTGTATTAGAACGGTCTAGTCAAAGTAAAGACCTGAACACTTTAAAGAATTGAAATTATGAACTTGAAACTCATATTTACACGTTTCTCTGTATTTAATCTGAGTAAGTTTCAGATTTTTATTACAGAACTGATGTAAATTAAAGTCTGTAAATGTTCCTAACTGAAAGAAGCATTGACTCAGGTGGCTGAATAAAGAGCTGCTGCTCTCTCTTCAGATTTGCATTTATAAAATCTTGAAAAGCATGTCTTTTTTTTTCTTAATTCTGCTTACTTATCTCAAATTCCCATTATATAAAGAAAAGCAAAGACCTATATGATTATTGACTGTGCGGCATGTGAAAAAAGGGAAAACATCCCTTCTGTTGCAACCTGACCCGGTCACGCTGGGCTGCCTTTAGGTGAGATTAGTTGGCAGCATGACATGCTTGGCGGTGCACAACGTTCTGCATAGAAAACACCTTTCCTGCATTCTGTCCTGATGCGGATAACCTAACAGAAATCCTGATAGCGTTCCCATCGCCACAGAAAAGCCGAAACCGATGTGGAATTTACAGAAATCTTTTCACATAAGGAAAGAAAAAACTCAACTGTAGTGCAAATCAAAAAGTTGTGGGGCTGCACTTAAACCTTGATAAGAAAGCAACATTTTATTTAATATATTTTGCCTTAGGTTATCTTAATTGGAAGTTATCCAGATAAATTTTGAATGGAAATGTGGCTCTTTATCAAGGTCTGTGCAAAGTTTATTCAAAAGTATTTTTAAAAATGAGAAGTAGTTGTCAAGTGTTGCCTTAGCTCTCATAAAATTGCCCAACCACATAAAAAAACATTGCTTTCAAGGTTTTATATATAAAAAGGAAGCATTTTCATGTTTCTAAACATTGTATTTATATTCCCCATCTTGATTTAAAGCTCTTTCAGTTAGTTTCTTGGTGGATTTTCTTATCTCTGTATAAAGCCTGGGGATTTGGTTTCCATTTTTTTATGTCAGTCCAAGATAAGCTCATAGTTTATGTGCAGATATGAAAAATTTCCTGCTTTTATTAAACAAAAAAAGGAAAAAAAAGCACTTTTTCCCCCCAACACATACTCGGTCAGACTGCAGCTACAGATTTGGAGGCTATATTAATCATTTAAAGAACATGGTTTAAGAAGAGAAGTCTGAATATCTTCAAATGTTTATTTTCTCTGGTGATTAATTAGATTTATTACAATAAGTTTACTGGTGCTCTTTCTCGCAGGTCTGGGCCTTATGGTGAATTGGCTGTCTGACCCAGACAACCTGAACCAGCTGGTGGTGAATCAGCTCGACATTGTAGCCCTGAAAAGCTTTGCAGAGGAGCTGCAGGCATCTGACCCAGATCGAGTCTCTGTTGCTTCGCAGGAGGGCGAGGGCGACGAGGAAGGCAGTGAAGTGTGAGTAGCTGTCATCTCTGCACCCCACTGATCTGACCGAGTGTTAGTGAGGCTCAAAAAAGAAGAATCTGCAGCAGCAGCAGCCATCTGTGTTTAAAATTGAAACTGACATGACTTTGTTTTGACTCTGATGTTTTTTCCCCAGGAACTTTGCAGGAGCAGAGATTTCAGCCGGCTCTGGAATCGCATTAAAAAGGAGAGGTACGTCTGTCGACTTGTTCGTTCACATTTAGAGTATAGATAACCCTACCTCCATATCTTCTTATACAACAGTTTGATGAAACACTATGGGAACACAGCAGGGTGCCAACTATGACATTTCCATTTTTACCGGCCGGTCCTTCCATGCACAGTTAGTCTCAGTTGTTCTTTGTTTCTCTAGGCTGCTAATTATGAAAGCTGCACGCTGCCTGCCAAATAAGTTACTGTTTTCTTTTCGAACAGAAGGAATCCAACAGCAGTAATGTTATAATTAGTGCAATTTGTTTAAATATTGCAGAGATCACATTCAAGGTCTGAATACTAATCATGCTTTTTTTTTTCCTTCTCCTTCCTCATTTTTCTTCAATCTACTGTTTATCCTCTTTGCAAACTTAAAGCCAACATTTTTTCACACTTATTCTAATCATCTAATTAGATCTTTTCTTTTTTGACCTGACAATCACAAACTTCTATGCCATCTTTTTATGTTATGAGGAAAACTAAACTAAAGTTTAGCTAAATTCTTAAATGAAAAGGAAAAAAAAAATGTATTTTCACAATTTTACGAATGAATATTTTAAGAATGTCTGGTTCACATTTTTACTTGGAAACCTTTGCACTGAGACACCTGAATAGAATGGTGCAACAGTTGTTTCCAGAAGACACCTGGTTAATAGAGAGTAGTATAAATCCAGCTGATGAGTGATAACCCCCAGAGGCTTGTTAGAGAACAAAAGGTTCTATTTTAATGCTGGCAAGTTATTTCTGCCCACTAAAACCGACCAGTTAATGTAGATAAGAAGAATAAGAAACAGCCATGAGATAACTGTGGAAAGTATGGATCTAAAGCTCAGGAGATGAGATGACCATTCGCGTCTACCTCCTTATCTAAACTTATTAAAGAGTGGAATAAAAAAATAAATAAAAAATAGTCAGAGCCTATAAACTAACACTACACCTCAAAACATAACATCCGCCTGGTTAAACATGGTGGTGGTAGCAGCATCATGCTGCGGGAGGGACATGGAAACTGTCAGCAGCTTTATCACCATGACTGTATGGATGGATGAAGCTGACTGGAAAACCTGTGGAAGCTGCAACCACTGGAGAGTGGGTTGAAGGTTAAATTCCCAGCAGGATAAAGAACCTAAACAGGGAGTCATAGGTTGTTCGCAGGGAACAGATCAAAGATTAATCACCAGTTAGACTTTTACTACAAGACTTATAGGTTGATATTTTCAAATGCTCTCCATCCAACCTGATAGACGCTGAGGTAATTTTACAAAAAGCAACATTTGTGGGCAAAAAATGTCTTTCTACAGAAAACTGGTATCGACATTCCACAAAAGACACAGCTGTACTTGCAATAAAACATGGAGCTACAAGGTATTAGCTCAAGGGAGCTAAATAAATGTGCGTGTTACACATAACAGCTTTTTATTTGGGGGGGAATCCTTCACTGAGGGTTCCTCTGACACTGAAATTGACAGTAAAATGCATCTTTTTTTAATTTAATGAAATTAATATATTTTTGCATAATACGTTTCAGGTCATAAGTTAAGAGAAGGATGGACCAAATTTGTTGACAAAATGAAGTCAAAAAGGGCCAAGAAGAAGAAGATAAAAAAGATGGAGCAAGAGCTGGTTATGAGGCTGATGGCGATCCAGGGAGACGGAGCCGACGAGGTCGATGCCAGCAGCAAGGAGGGCTCGCTCTCCAGCCAGCAGGATTCTGAAAGGGTGAGACGGCTTCCCATCACACAAACCGTTAAAATTAAGTTTGTTGAACCTGACATGTTAATTGCTGCTTTTCTTTTCCCTCCTTCAGGAAGACAGCGATCTGGACGACTATCTTGCAAGCGTCCAGGAGGACATGATGGAATTCAAACTTTCTTATGAGATGTGGCGCGTGGGCTGCTGGGCTGTCAGCATCCCTCATGTGAGTGGGTTAAGACATCAGCGAGGTGGTGAGGAGGGCCTCGTAAGGCCGTTATCTGCCCGCAGAGGCCCTGTGAATGCGTCTCCTTGGATTGTTAATGTTTGTGCTGCTGTTTCAGGCTGACTGGGAGGACAACGAGCTAATCTTTACGGTCCATGTGGAGGAAAAGGACAGCCCAGAGAATTTACAGTGGGATATTAAGAAGACTTACATGGATGTTGTTCATTTCCGCAACAGATGGCAGGTAAAAAGCCGTGAGCAGCGCCGTGATATGATTTGTTCATTCCAATTACAACAATTTTCTAAAGATGTTATAATAACAGGTGTTTTAGGAGCCATCTTCATTACATTTATGATGCTGCGGCCAAAATAGTTGACGGACAGATCTTTGAGGCTCAGGGAGGTTTTGTGTGGAAGCTGTGTAAAGCAAGTCCAGACCATTTACCATATGGCAGAGAAGCGAATGCAGCAGATTGCTCTTTTTGGCTGATGCAATGTAACGCAAAGCTGTTGGAAAACATTTTTTGACAGAAACTTGATGTTTGTGCAGTGAGCGTTGAACAGCCCACTGAAAATTGCTGCACTCAATTAAATGTATTTCTTGGCTTTTCTACAGCTTGTTTTCCACTAAACACACTAATTTAGGCTAAAATGTGAAAACAACACATCTGCTTTGTTTTGTATGAGGAGAAAATTTAGGCGGCCCCATGCCCGAAAGGGGCTTCAGGTGTCCTAAAACAGAACAGAATTTCAAATAGAACCCTGCAAAACAGGAGGTAAATGGATGGATCAGAGCTTCCTCTGCAGGAATACACATGGAAGGAGTAGTTGGTTATTAATGTAGAGCTTCATCATTGAAGAGGAGGTTTAAGGATCTGACCACAATCCCTTATCCAGAGACATGGGCGGTTCTAGATTGGGGGCCAACAGAGGCCAGGGGCCCCTGTAGAGCTGGTCCTGGCTCCTGTATCTAAGACATAATACCAGATACATTTATGATAAATTAATGATGATAGACCCTGGCACAGAATCGTTTTATCTTACAGTTTTATTTGGCAATGATATGAAAAGATAAAAGTGAGATATGATCACTTTGGGAGCTTAGGTCAGCTTTTATGGTCTGATCCAAGATGGGGCTGTTTTGGAGAGAATGCCAGTTTCCCGTTAGGATTTTTCATTTTTTTCTGTAGTGGCCTAATTTAGGGTCATGCTCATCTGGAGGAAAAAAAAACTATGATAAATAACTATATCACTGTCATTAAAATATAAAAAAAAAAAACAATGTTGGTTTACTTAACTGTATGAAATAAAGTTTGAATATTTAGACACTGCAGGAACCCACATGCATACATACATCTATAGAGAAAATGATGGGATTAAAAACTGTATTAACATTATATTTATTCCCTGCTTTATAATCCAGGGTGGAATCATCAGTACCTTTTTTATGTGTTATATGTATTAAGTGGGGAAACAGAGCTGGTCTATCTGCTTAGTTGCATCCAGGGCTTTAGGGACAAGGCAGCTTTAGGGACTGTGCCTGTGAGACAGCTCTGAGGGAAGGAGGGACAGACTTAGGGCAGCTTTGGCTACTGGTACCAGCCTGTAACTATAGAGCTGCTTTTAGGTAAAGGTGCTAAACTCACCAAAACATCAGAAGTCAGTTTATCTTTAGTCGCTGTTTGAAAAGAAGTTGCTTGAGGGGTTTGAAAAGTTCCTAAATATAATGACAGAATTGCTCAGTTAACTTTGGACACTTGACTCTAGAGGTCCTTTATTAGAGAGCAGAGCTTTAGCTACCAGTGGACTTAATCCACCAGCTGGCTTCACTACAAAACGGACAGCAGCCTGCAGTATTGGTTTGCCAGATAGTCAATTTGAACATTTAATTTGAACCAAATGCTTTACAGTGTTTAAACAGATTTGTTTTTATTCATCTCAAGATTTGATGGCTTTTATCTATGCTGCACTGTGGCTGCACAACCAATTATATGTAGTGGAAACCCTGGAATGTGTCAGAAGCCACAGTGCATAAAAATAATCTGTGCAGAGCTGCGTAGCTGCAGACGAGTCAGGGCGCTCAGGCTGAGCCCTGTTCACTACCAAAGCCATCAAAAATATGTGGAAAATCAGAACTGGGGCCAGAGCAGTAGAGGTCGACCTGGTCTGTTCAATCTTTTTCTTTGTTTTTAACATCATATTGAAGGCCAGGGGCCAACAAGATGAACTAAGGAAAGAAGAGAAAACGAGAGGCAGAGTGTGAGATATTCTGCAGGGAAACCTAGAGATCTGCCTCTATGTTACCCGAACCTATAGCCTCCATCTGCAGAAAACACTCTTCAAAGCAGAAATACACCAGGACTGGTTTAAGGAGCTCAATAATAAGTTAACATGTTCAACCTCAGAAACCCCTAGATCTCTGTAAAATCCAGCTTTTGTTGGATGTACAGGTCAAACAGCCTGATGTTTGAGGCCTTTCATCCAGGATTAAATGAGTCTGCAGCAAAGTCTTGGTAACAGTCACCACTTTACTTGACTTTGACTTTATTGATCTCACAGTGGAGAAATTTGCTTGTTACATCAGATCAAATAGTCAGTTCCTCTACAGACTGGTGCAGATGGTGGAAGGTGTTGTCCATGATGGATGTAGGTGTGGATAGCATCCTCCGCTCAGCCACTTCCTCCAAAGTGCAGCCTAGGACAGAAACAGATTGTAATGCTTCAAGTTCTGTCTTACTGCTAAGATACAGCACACTATGAACAGATTTGTACATGTTTCAACAAATGGCCGCAAAAGAGGCAGCAGGAGGAATGTTTGCAATAATTATTTAAAGTTACCACAGTCATTAATTTAAGGATTAATTCTGGTCTTTTTGTCTCCTAGTGAGATATTCTGCAAGGTTAAAAGGAAAGCAAGTATTTTTTTCCGGAGTAACAAAACTGCAAAAGTAAAATAAGTTAATTTTAAGAAAGAAAATTTAAATGAGCAATAATTAAGAAATTTACTGTAAACTTCACCAAAATCATTCTCAATTGTCACCTGGGATGGAAGTTATTTTCCATATAAAAGGTCAGTCCTTTCCATCACCAATGTTTTTGTCAATTATTTCTTCTTTCAAACCCAGAGGTGCAATGCAATGTGTAGTCTGTATGCACTTCCTGTTTCCTGAGCCAATCACATGAGATTTTCCAAAGTTACCAACACGGAGAGCAGCATTTGTATTTCCTGTTGGCAAAAAGAGCAGCAGCCTCTATGTTGCTCTGATTTGAAACACTACATGTCTTTATTACTACTTATTGCTCCTTTAACATAACAGAAATGGACATAACCATGTCAACTTTATCAAAGAGCACATTAAACACCCACAGAACCAAAGCTCACAACACAAAATAAACAACAGACAGATGATAGAGTGAAAGGCACAAACAGAACTAGGTTAAACAGAACGTTTCATTTCATTAGGAAAATCCAGGCGGAAGTGGGAGAAGAGAAGAAATAATATTTATAATGCGTTCTGTATCTAACATCCAACCAACAGAAATTCCTTTTGAAGTTTTGACCCAATAATGAGTTCAGTGTCCAACCTCTTTGTTTTTAGGTTAAAAATCTAAAGATAATACAACAGTAAAGGTAATGAAAGCTTAACTCTACACAGAGAAGATAACCTTTTTTGATTCAGAAAGCAATTGCATGTTTTTTTATTTTTGTTTAAGTATCAGTATTTCAATTAAATACATGTATTAAAGTGATTTATTTTCCCGAAGTGGGAAAACTCTAATGTCCCAGGAGGAAAGTGAGACACAAATGAAAGCTGGTAGATTCACACAAAGGTAAAACATTTATAAAAACATTGAAATAAGATTCTGGGAGTGAGCTTTATTGGAGAATTGGAGCATAAGATGAAAGGCAAATGCTTTTAAGAGTGTAATTCAAAAATGAAAGAAATATGCAACTAAGTAGGTTGATTTACAAAACGAAATGGAAATACATTATACGTCTGTGTGCTTATGCATTAAAAAAATTTTACAGAATATAACAGTGGATAAAACCTAGATAAAACTCTAGCAGTCCCCCCCCAAAAAGTTAACACAGATCTGCAGAGTTTGTAGCAGCAGTATTACTGTTATGATACAAGTTATGTACAAAATTTATTTTTATTTTTTTTGTATTTCAGGACTCGACCAGCCTGCCCACCATTTTTCCATTAGAAGAATCTGAGGTCAACAGAAAGGTTAAAGAAGAAGCCACTGCATCAGTTGAGCGTTTCCTGCAGGTCCGGAAACTCAGATCAGGATGGCAGATAAACGTCTAAAAGGCTTTTGTTGAACATGTTTCTTTATTTTCCAGGACTTGGTTTCTGACGTTATGATCGGCCACACTCAGCCGGTTTTTCAGTTCCTGTGTCCACTTGACAAACTGCTGAGCGAGGAGGAGCACAGCGGAGGCGTGTGGGGGATTCTCAGTGGTCTGGCCTACTTCCTCACTCCTGGGCAAGAGGAAGAAGAGGTAAAGGGGTCACCACCACTTTTACGTCCACTATTCTCAAGACAAGAGTTGCAAACACATACATTCACCTTTTCATATAACTTTTCCTTGAAGAAATACTGTCTCTATAAAGTATGTAATAATGGTCAATTTGATGGACAAAAAAGGAACTCAAGAACTTTCTTTTAGTCGATCAACCCCTTTAATCATTCTAGACTGTAGGAGCTGTGGCCACCCGCAGTTCTTCCACTGAAAGAAAGATTATTCTTCCTGTATCAATACAGGGTTAATGGCTACTCGTCAAAAATAAAGCCTTTACTCCAGAAACGGAACCAAAAAAAAAACAGATTCAAGTTGGCAAATGCATTGAGGGAAAAAGGCCTGAAGTATTGTCCTGCAGTCTGGTGAAACCGTATTGATGGTTGCATCTGGAAGAAAAAGCGAAAACCTTACAAGCTTCAAACACCATCTTAGGTGGGATGTACAGAGGTGGCAGCATCATGTTCTGTGACTGTTTTACTAAAGGAGGGGGTGGTGCACTCTATACGGAATACATGATATTAAAGAACAGTGTGGACAGTTATTGAAGCAACAAAGAGCCGGGAAGTGATGGCTTAGACAAATGATTCTTTCTGATGTGACATTGAACACAAAAAAGCTTAGTAGCAAAGTGACAACAAAGCTGATGCTTTTTGACCCAACTTCAGCCCCAGAAAACATGTGTGGCCATATTTGAAAAGCTTTGTCATTTTTTTTTTTTACAAAGACGCCCTTATAAACCTGGCTCAGAGGTGTGAGGAGGAATTTATGTGGTTTTTATCCAGCAGTACAAATGCCTGCCAAAAGAAAAGACACACTCTCCTCTTGCTGTGTGTGCGTCTTTTAAAAAAGTGGATGTGCACAGCAGGCTGGAATGACAGAGCACACCCTCATCAGTATGCTGTCAGCTTCTGTTGAGATGCCGTTTGGGAGTCCATTAGCAACCAGCATAAAATCACTATTACTCTGCTTTATGAAAAAAAAAAAAAAGAAAGCTTCACAAATGAGCTCAAACATTTCTTAGTTTATTTAGCCTGGGTCGTAAATTCTGGTTAATTGGTAAAATATTCAGTATGAATCCGTTCAGATTTGATCTCCTTCAGTTATGCTTGGATAATAACATTGAACCCACAGATTAAAATGCCCTTAATAATATGAAAACTATTTGATCTGCTTTGATTTTTTTTTTTTCATTATTTTCTGTCACTATAGTATTAGAAGAAAGAAGCCACAAATGTCCTGCATGTGTTACTCAGTTTAACTGAAAGGTTTAAAGTGGAAGTCTAGGTTGTTGTTTTATTTTCAATACTAATTGGTTTTAGAAAACAGCAATCTGTTATTAATGTTGTGAGAAGGCTCGTTATTACAGAGGCCAGGATGACTTTCACCAAATGATCTCTAATTCTTTGACGTAATTTTAGAATAACCACCAACTTCATCTTTCCTGCAGCCAGCAACATTTCTAGTATATTTAACATGTTTTTCTTGTTACAGCTTCTTCCATTTGTGAATATTTCTTTGTTCTGCTTGAGTGACTAAAATATATTTCATCGAAATTTTAAGATGAATAATGAAATGGCCAGAATTCCTATTTTGTGCTGATGGTTCCTAAAAATGTTCTGCACAGAGCTTCCAGATGCAAAAATAAGAAATGGGAAGGAGATAAAAAAAATATTTATTGTAAACATTAAATTATAATAGTCTGTTTCTATACCTAATCAAAAGCTTAAGATCATATGTTTAAAAAAACGATCCTAAATTGGAAACCAAATTTTCAAAAAAGAACTGACTAATGAATAGCTGTGTCATTCTCATTAATCGCTTTGGACTTTGCTCCAAGTTTAAAATGCGTCTTTTTTTTTCAAATGGTCTTTTTAATCTTGACCTTTTCTAGGGTGCCTGTGTTTGTTGGTCTGCTTAAGGTTGCTCCTCCATGTGGAAACTGAAATAGAAAGAGTTCATCTCTGCAGAGTGAGCACATTTGTCAGAGCACACTTCAACAGAAGAGGATCACTGACCTGCAAAGCTGACCTGGTGCAGCTGAACGTGTTTCTTTGATCAGAGGTTCATGTTACTCCTCTGTTTGATCTGTTACGGTGCAAGGTCTTGCAAAACTACTTAGAGTACATCTCTTGAGCTTTTTTGCATTTTCGTGTTAAAACCACAAACTTCGATGTGTGCTATAGGGAAAGAGACTGAATATAATTGTGAAGTGGAAGATTTATTTTTTTTCTTTTCTGAAAAGCAGCTATGCATAAATATTTTGATTCATGGCTATTTTTCTTCGTCATTTTGATAATTTTTATTAACTTTACATGACTGTAACTTTTTCTATTGTACCTCCTATATAGTTCAAGATTGAACATCTATGAATAAAGAATCTTTTTTTCCTGCACATTTTCCTCAAATGGATTTTAGTCTGGACGTGGATTTGGTTGTCCTAACACATAAACATGCTAGGATAGCAAGATAATGTTTCAAGTTTTTTTTTTTTTTTGCAGGGTTTAGCTGATCTCTTTCAGGGCTTCACTATTTTTAGCTCAATCTATTCTTTTTCCATCAACTCTCCTCGGTTTTTGTACCACTGCTAGAAAAGGGTTATCTTGCAACAAATTGTTGTGAGATTTTAGAATTCACAAACTCTCAAATAATTTGTGCCAGAAGCCAATAGATTCATTAGCCTGAAATACAGAAATGTTTTGAACCAATGAAATGCAGTGAAATACCCTCTATTTCTTTTTGGGGGGGAAAAAAGAGCAAAAGGATGCGACTTGTGTCTTTACTGCGCAATGCTGCCACTACCGTATTTGGCAGTTTATTGTAAATAGTTTCAGTCTATAATAGCTCTGTGATTTTCTTTTTCAGAGTGGGGAAATTCATGTGTGACTTGCAGGTACACACAGGATGAAATATAAAGTTGTACAGTAGAAGGGGAAAAAACGTACTTCTAAAAAAAGAGATACTTTGTAGTTATTAATAAAAATGCACAATTAGAGCTGAAAGATTGTGGTCAAATCAAGCAGTGTAAGAATAAAACAGCATCAAAACAAGACGTTTAAAAGTCACAGAATCACAGAGAGTGAGCATTCTTGAACAAATGGGCTTTGTGTCAAGACTTGAACTAGGAGAGGGTTTTAGTATTACGGATGACTGGAGGGAGAAAATTCCAGAGGTTCTCCATGGTGCTCAGTCGGGCAGGAGCAACTGTACAGTGAATGGAAGAGGAGGATTTAAGGGTGCAGGAGGGAGTGGCACTCTACAGTGGATGGCCCTGAATGTATAAAGAAGCACTCTATTCTTTTAAAAGGGATGGTGCCGCTGTAAAACTGGGGTGTTGTGGTAAAATGAAGGTTTTTTGGTGATGAAATGGCTAAATTCTGAACCACTTAAAGGATTATGGTGGGATTTTTGAGAGAGGCTAAGAAGAAGAGAGCTCCAGTAACCTGTAGGAGCTAACCAGGAGTTAGATTAGATTGATGCAGAGTGCAGGAAAAGGGAGAGTTAACGTCTATTAATGGTCCGTAAGTGAAAATATGCAGAACTGGTGAGGTTCTAATAGAAGTGCTATTAAGGATCATCCAGCAATGGGTAGTACAGCTTTGGATCCTTCCTGGTGTGTCTCAGTTTTGTTGCTATTTAGTTTCAAGATATTTGAGGTGGACCAACATGTTATGTCAGATTGTCAGAAGGTGAAGGAGGAGGGTGGGGATATAGCATTTGGCTTTCTAGAATGGATCTGGGTGTCATTCACATAGGAGTGAAAATAAGAGGCATATAAACCCTGTTAGAAAGTGTGCAAATTATTTGTCACTGGATAAGGAACACTTGTTGCCAGTTACATGGTTATAAATGCTTATTTGGCCTATTTGGAGCCATAAAGATTATAAAGTCAGACAGCAGCTGAGAGGAAGGATCTGTAGATGTGCTTCTTTTTGCATCTAAGGTGAAAGTCTACAATGTACAGCATGGCTAGGAGATGCTGTCCAACAGTGATGTTAATTTAGTGTTCAGGGCAACATCCTGGAAATGTTTTTTGTTTGTTGAGATTACTTCTTAAATGCATCCACCATCAGACTCCAGTCTGAATGTTTCACAGCCCTAACGGGGCTCACATGTGCAGAAGGACAGAGTATACGATGTTACACAGCAGCGCACTGTTTACAGAAGACATTTAATATATCAGTGATGGCCTATAATCTCCTTTCCCTCATTTTATTTAAAGGCAACAGTATTTTGATACATTTTTTTCCCCATTATTTCTGAGCTCCTGTTAGGCCTTTACCAGAAGCTGCTGCTTCTGCAGCAGGGAAACATGGTTACAGCACTTTTTGCTGTGGTTTATCTGTGAACTCTGCTTGTGTGTCTGATAACACTGATTAGTTGAACCAATCTTGTGTTGGTGAAATTAAGCAAACGAGGCATTTTTGGGTAAAATCCTTTATGAAGTCTTGACATATTTTACCTAACATTATTTAAGACAGGGTGTCTAAGTCTGGGTTTTCTGGTGGCGTTTAATAGAAAACCCCTCTGGTCTTTTGCCAACATTCACATTTATAACATCTGAACTTTTATTTTCGGCGCCTCACCCTTCAGACTGTAAACAAAGGAACTTCCAAAACACTCACATCCTACCTTTATTTGATTATTTTATTAATATTATGGTCAAAGTGTTCATGTCTAGATCTATAAAGTAAAACGATCTAATGGAGGTAAATTTCTTAAAGATTAGGAATAGGACCAGCTGTTTGCAGTTGGGGGGGGGCTAAACTTTTTTTAAAACTTATTGATATTTTTAGTGTCTGAACCTGTTGAAAGTTTTTATCTTTAATTCATTACGAAGGCTGCTCCCTCAGGGTTGGCTGCCTGCCACTTCCTGACTGTTCTTGTTTTCTTTGCAGAGCTCCAGCCTGCAGACAGAAGTCTCCCAAGAAAGCGAAGTGCCATCCTCACAACTTGAATCATTCCCCCTTTCTGTAGAGCATCATTGTAATTCCACTCCGATTCAGAACGGCTCTCCGCTCCCAATGATTGTCGTCTCCCAGTATAATTCCCCTCCCACACAGGCCGGGGAGGCAGAGGTTAACCAGCAGCTCTCTGCTAATGCTGGCACCTTGCTTGGAAACTGTTTCCAGGAGAAACCAGAAGAGTCTGATAACACCTTGACCTCTCACTTCAAAATGATCATCAAAGGACTGACCAAATCCAGGTCACAGGAGTCTCTGTGCTCCGCAAAGGCCAGCGGAGATGAGGAGCAGTCTGATGAAGCACAGCATGCGGGAGCAGAGGAGCTGTCGCATCTCAGCTGCTGTTCGAAGTCGAATAAAAAGGAGAGGATGGGTTTCAGGATGTCAGGTGGAGCGGGCAAGACGAAAGGGAAGGAGACAATACAAGGCACTCTGCAGAGAGGGGAGGACCCACGGTGTCAGAGAGGCCAAATCGACTGGGAGCAGCTGGAGTCATCCAAAGCCATATTTGATCTGCTGAAAGAAATATCAGGTTTGTTTACTCTTTAATGTTGGATCATACAGTCATGTGGTCTTCACAGCGGGGTTTGAAGCACACTGTCATTTTTGCTTCTTTTTTTTTCCATTATTGATTTCTTTCTCTCCCTTTCCTCCTGAAGACTTGACAGCTGGTTGTTTCAGCTTGTTTCTGTGGCTGACAAAATAAAAACACTGCCTGTAGAGACCTGAAACTTGCCTCAGGAAGCAAAATCCTGCAACATACTCTCCATTAATCAGCACCCGTTATTTTGGGCTGAGAGCATGGCTTGTTTTTATAAGCGCTGGGTAGCACTTTCATATTTAAGAGGAAATGAAAAACTGACAGCTGGCAGCCTTGAAAATTATATTTAGAAAAACTGTTTTAAAAAGGAAAAGTTTGTACAAAGCCAGCGATGGAGAGAAATCATGCAGAGTCGGTAAAATCTAAAATGAAAGCAGCTGCTGCAGAGGCATGTTTTAATAAAGTAGCCCTAGCAGACATAATAACTTCACTGATGAATTGGCCACCTACAGCAAACATCACGTAATTAATGGCATAAATGATACGGTGGCTCTTTGTCTTGTGAATAAACGTGGCAGCGGTGAACTTGAATACCTGACACTAACATGACATGAGTGCGCAGCATTTTAAGAGTTGCTTAGAGGAAAGCATATCCCTTCATTACAGCTGCTTAAAGGTTGAAATGACAGATTAGCCTCTGGAAACTTTACAAAAAAGCCGCCTGCATTTTAAAAGAGCTAAACAGCTACATTTTATGGATTTTAGTTTGCTGTTCTGAAGCCCAGACAGTTGTAGCCTTTGAGCGTTAACAGTGCCTTAAGTGAAATAAACCATTTTTATGAAGTTCTCTTAGAGTTGGAGGAGTTTGGTCAAATGTACGCCCCCTACTGGTCTGTAACCACATGTAAAGATACAGGCTAAGTAGAAAAACGAAGCACACCCCTGCTTTAGGTATAGATTAGTGAATTAAATCGATTTCAGTGATCATCAGCAGGAGTCAATCATTTTAAAAATCAGCAGATTCTTCTCTTTGGTGGTCTGAAGCACACAGATATTTGTTAATGACCATCAGTGTGGGTGGGGTAATGAAACCATTCATAGACATTGTGAAGTCTATTGATCTTCAGGTCTGTTTTGTTTGTGTAGTTTCCTCATCAAAGCCTGTTCCTCTTATATATAAAAACACAACTTGGCAATAAAACATTTTATTCTGATTAGGTTAAGGGTTGTCAGTCTTTCAAGCTCTGAACGTCCCAACAAACACTGGGTTAGCATGTTGAAGTTAAATAATGGAATAAGGAAAACACATTTTAAAAGCCCTATTTAGACTTTCTGATAAAAGCCTTTCTTTTCTTTCTAAAAGCTGTTTGGCTGTGAAAAGATTTAGGATTAGGTAGAGATTGTTTTGTTGGATATTGAAGAAATGGTAAATTGTTGACATTTATTATCAGAGGTGTCAAGTTGTTTTTTTTTTTTTTGGTATTTAGGAGTTTTTCAACTTTTACTCACTATTACATTTAAAAACAAAAATATCTATACTTTCTATTCCTTCATTTGTCCAAACTGGTTCATTACTTTCTTACATATTAATAACGACATGATGTAACGGCTGTAACAGCACAGGAAAAAATTAATAAAATCTGTCCAGTTTGAGGCCAGATTGCTTTTAGAAAAACACTGATGGCAACATGGATAATGACAGGGGGCTGGGAAACGATGTAGACGATGGTTCAGAGTCTGTGACGCATGGACCTATATTGGGCTGAATTATGCAATATGAGGACACTTATATGACAGGGCTGTGAAAAACTGTTGATTAGGGTTTGTTTTTTGGTGGAGGAGGGTTAATGTTTCAGGCCTCTTCTGCAGTCACAGAACCTGAATATGGTAAGGACATTATGCACTCCTGTCTACCAAAAGCCTTCTGGAATAAAATGGCACTGGACCTTTGGGAAAGTGGATTCTAGTCCTCTCAACCTTTTATCTGAGGTCTTGATTTCCAAATGAAATGTAGACCTTCTTTCCATCTGAACAAAGGACTTTGGACTACAGAGCAACAATCAAATAGTCTTTCTCCTTGGTTCACATCAGACACGTCTGACTTTGACCCAAGCTTAGAGATCACTTGACTGAAGAAATTAGATGTCTGTATGCTAGATTTTACTGAGCCATCCTCTTAAGGCTGCTGTTGTTCCTGGTGCTGGTCAACTTTGGCCACTGCACTTTTTTTTTTCTCCACTCAACTTTCTATGGACATACTTGAACACAGTCTTACTTCTTCAGCCATAACATTGGGTGAATACCCCTCCTTTTGGAGACTGTCCGTGACTGTCGACTGTAGATGCAGTTTGGAAAATATTGCCCTTAGATAACATTTAAACACCTTTTAAATTGGGATTTCATTAAGTCAGCCATAATAATCAAAGGTACAAAAAATGAAGGCTTGAAATATTCCATTGCGTATGCAATAAATCTATACCTGAAATGAGCAACAAAAGACACTGAAATCGTTCACAGTATTTAGTTATTGAAGTGTACCTGGACATCACTTAATAGCACTATTGGTGTTATTCTTATGTCTTGTTTAAAAATGAATGTCATCACATTGTGTGAATCTTTCACAGGAAACTCGATCCTCATCAACATTTTTGACGCCATATTGAAACCTGTGATGCCTATCTTGAAGAAGTAAGTTGGATATTAACATGTTTCCATGTTTCATATACTGATTTTTTTTTCTTTTTTCTTTGGCTTAGCCTGCTGTCTTGTTTTTCTCCAGGAAATTAAATTCCTTCCTGAATAAGTTAAACCCAACAGAGGAGCAGATGGCTGCCTATATCGACGCTCTGTGCAGCAAGCTGTGGCCGGAGATCCAGCAGGTCGCCGCCCCTCGAACGGACGAGGAGAAGGACGAGACCAGAGAGCGAGCGCACAACCTCATCAACGCTCGATGTAGCCCACACCTTCTTAATTCAGACACATTTGTGTTGCTTGACCAAGGAAACCTGACCGTCTCCTCTCTGTTTAGATTCTAACTATCTGGTTCTGAAGAAGACGGATGTGGAGTCGGTTTTCAATCTGTTCCAGAACCGAGAGGAAAACAAAACTCTGATCTATGTGAGTATCTGACTATCAGAACCTCTCCGTCTCATTCAGAGATTTCACTTTGAAAATGTTCATTCCTCTTTCTTTCATAACAGACACTCCTTGCCTTCCTGTTGAGGGAATTTCTGCCCAAAGACAACTCTCTACACTTAAGTGCTAATGTTCTTCAGAAAGTGACAAACGGGGCCAACTGATCTGTGAAACCTGCCTTTATTTTATGTGTGACCACTTTTTAAATATTGAAGATATTTATAATTGCCTTCTAATCGTTTGGACCACCTCAGTATGAATGTGAAAAATGCCTTTTTCTGTCATTAGTTTTACCTCAGACACACTGTGAATATTTGTTTTTGTCAATGATCTTCTCATCACATTCATGTGTTGATGCTGAACTCGACTGAAATCAGGAATTATATCTGGGAGTCAGAATATTACTGATGATCTCAGGAAGGAAGAAGTGACCCTTATTTCTGGGTACAGATGTCACTTCATACATTCTGTTTTCCAAAATGATTTTCGTCACTTAAAGCACTTCATATGTTAAAGGTGTTTGTTTACCTAAAGGGTTCTTCTTCTGTTTTTGTTTTTCTGTTTTGTCTTGTGAAAATATAAAAGCTCAGATTTTCTCATTGCACACAATTTGTCAAAACGGTCAGTTCCTCGCACATAGCTTGAAGTAAATGTGTGGAACTTGAAAATGTATTCCAAATAAAATATGTAATATCACTTTGTTTATATTCAGGTTTTGTTTTTATATTTGAATAAAGATATTTCATTCAAAGAAACTGAGGAAAGCACAATTATATTTATTTTCTTTCCAGCTGAACATAAAATGTTATCAGTTGTGGTTTTTTGTTTTTCAGATGATAAATTAATGTGTTAGTGTAGGTATTAAACCCATCATCAGTGTACCTTTAGATATGATGCTAATTGCTGACATTAGACAGTTATGGAATAAAACAATCATTGCAGCCTTAATATATCGATGGCTTTAAGGCTGCTGTTTCTAAAACACTTTGAAATTGAGTCAATGTTTTTTAAACTATTGCATTTTAATCATTAAAGGTTTAAATAAAACAAGGTTCTGTTGCACGTATTCTGTTAAGCTTCCCTTTTCCACAATGTGAAATAGATTTTGAAATTGCATTTTATGAGCATTTTGATCAATCTTTTTTTCTGATCTTACAGTATTACAAATACATTCTGTAACATTGATGCCCTATAAGCTTTTATTCAGTTTCCCAATACCAAACCTTGTCCTGGGTTATGTAATTATTCATCAATTTCTGATATAACTAAATCCTTTGCTTCACACATGCTTGGAATTTTCAATTTCTATATTTGAACTCAAGTTATAAACTTAAAAATACTAGGCAATAGTCTTCATTCCATTCCTTTATTGCCCAATGTCCTTAATAAGCTTGAAAATTAGAAATAACTTGTAGAATTTGGCTGGTATTGTCGGTTGTATGAGATATTCTATGTTTTTGCACAATCTACCTTTATACTGAGTTTTGAATATTTTTTTTTTCAGATTGAACATGGTTCTAACTTTAGGATTCTGCTCAGAATAACTACTGAACCTTAGAGTTTCTGAGTGATCCCTGGTGGTATAGGGATTTCTCTTAATTTGTACATCTAAAGAAGGCTCACACTGTGACTCTGATCCAAAGGTATTCTGTGACTGTGCTGCAGGGGTTTGGGGTACTCTATGCTCCATGTGCCCCATAAATCTGCACAAGTTTTTCTTATAAGACGGGCTGTGTTTCAGCCTGAGTCTATCAGCACACATTAAGGTATTAGGTTTTATTTACCAGAAAGGAAAACTGATCAGGAACAAATAATCAGAATCAGAATGAAGTGTTTAATCCCTTGTGGGAAATTATTTTCTTGAGGTGGAACCATTAACAGAAGAGAGAAAAATGAGATTGTAAGTTCAATAGAGCAAAATCAAATATAAGAGAGACTAAAATAGCCAGCTAAAAGAAGTCTGTATGTTAAAACTGATTTTACCAAAGATAAACAATCTACAATGGAACTATTTTTAGAATTGTAACTATAAAATGTTTTGCTCTTGTCTATTTGGCATTTTTTTTAATGGAACCAACATTCATTGCTGAAAAGAGGAAATCTAGCTGTTATTTGAATAAAAAAAAATGAGAAAAAAAAAAAACTGTAAAGTTCTGGGTTTCTATAATATTTGGTACAACAGAAGATTTTTGCGTGATTTTCCAACAAGTCATGAAAACCATGTTTTCTAATCATTTTGTTTCAGTGTAATGGATGCAAATATATTAACCAACTCTCATTCTTTACAAAATGTCATTGTTTTTATAATGATGATAATGAGATAATGATTATTAGACTATGTGTCGCACTGTTTACAAACCATCCATCCTAGAACAGCTTTCATTATCCCTTGGTTGATGTCCATCTCCGATGATCATTGGGTGAGAGGCGGGTCTCCAGTCCATCATAAGACCACGCAGATAAATGGAACAAGCAAATATATTTACACACTGATAGCTAAAGGTAATTAGAAGAGACCATTAAACTTGAAAGTTCTGTTTTTGTGTTGTAAGAGGATGCCGGAGTGCCTGGAGAAATAAAATCACAGACAGTGGAGAGTACATGCAAACACCATGCAGAGATATAGTAGGCTGGGTTTTGAACCCTCCTTGCTTTAAGACAACAGTGATGCCGACTGCGCCATCATACAAACCCCTTTACAGACTCTATAAATATGGATTCAGGAACTCCTAATTGATTTTTTTAAAGATTGATTTATTTGTTGCTTTACTTGTTGAATTATATTTACTATATTTATAGCTGTGGGCTTTTGGGTGTGTGTCTCCATCTGCTTTGCACATCTAGAAATTAAACTGCCATGTTTGTTAATGACTTTGCAAAATTGCTCAGGCATTTTTAATTCCGACAAATCTGAATATTACCAGAAGGGCATGCTGTAAGGTAAAGTAACTGTGACAATAAAACAGAAAAAAGAAGCAGTTTTATCTCCCTCTTCCAGGGAACAGACATTGAGATAGTGGGCTCTTATAAGTACCTAGGTGTTCACCTGAATAACAAACTGGACTGGACTCACAACACATTTAGGCTCTGTATAAGAAAGGTCAGAGCAGACTTTTCCTGCTCAGGAGACTGATGTCTTTTGGAGTGCAGGGTGTGCTCTTAAAGACCCACTATGACTCTGATATTGTATCAGCCATCTTCTATGGAGCCACTGACCTCTTGGAATGCTGATTTCCCAAAAAAGTAAAGCCACTGGCCGCCATGCTTGTACTCCCCTCTCCCACTGAGACACTCAGTAAAAATGCCAAAATGTGTTGCATTTGGCTGCAAAAACAAGCAGTTTGCCAGCTGTACGAAGATGTTCCACAGGTAATTTCACAGTAAGTAGATGTACTAACCAAGAAAATAAATATATATATATGCAAATAAATACTATACTAAGTAGCGTAACATTAGTCTGGCTATCTTGGACTGACTTGAAGATATTGACCAGATGTGGCTATTTATTCTCCCAGTATTTATAATGTTAAAAGACTTTACAGTACAGTATTTCATTAGCTTACTTTTTAACTACACTGTTATCTTATTCTTATACATTTTCCTTCATTTTCTATATTTTGTCTTTAATCTTTTTGCTGTTGTAAACACCAGAATTTCCCCAATGTGAGACAATGAAGGGATTTTCTATTCTATTCTATTCTATTCTATTCTATTCTATTCTATTCTATTCTATTCTATTCTATTCTATTCTATTCTATTCTTATAAATATAAAATAGAATAGAATTTCTATTATCTTTGCTGCATTTCCTCCTCCGTGCCAGCAGGTGGCGGTGCTGTGATGTGTCGCGCAGCAAACAAGCCGCTTTGCTCCAAGATGTCTGCGCCCTGAAGGATGCTGCTACCAGCGTGAAGGTGCAGGACGAGAAGCAGGTATGAAAACACGGAGCTTAATATGCTTTAAGTTGCGTTTTAAAAACTCTGAGGCAGCTGACAGTGTGATCTATAGAGTCCGTGACTTTTAAAAGCATTGTTTGTTCATTGAGGCTGTGTATGTGGAAGTGTCGCTCCTGTGTTTCACAATCAGTACAAAACATGTGTCCATTTGGGATTTTAAGGGGATCTCTGTAATAAGTGATCGATTTTAAGCATACGTATCCGCAATCTTTTCATAAGGTTTACATGTATTTGCTGAAAGTATAACAGACTCTGTTATAGGCTTATATGAATCATCTGGTTTTATCTGATACAGGGAAAAAAATCCTTAATTTAGTGTTCAAGAAGCTCAGACTAAAAAAACTATTCATGGATCTGGTGTTTACTCTGTTTCACCACCTTTTTTATACAAATACACAAGCTACTTTAAATTATTTACAATAGAAATGGAATAGAAAATCCTTTTATTGTCACATAATAGGGAAGTTATTGATTATAGATTTTAAGACTGTTTGATAAAATATTATTTGGGAAGAAAAAAAAAACCCAAACAAAACAAACAAGCTTGTGTACCACAATTTAACCCCAAAGTGCCAAACATAGAGAAAGCCTTATAAACACCTACATTTAGAGTCGGGACAGACTGAGTCTGAATATAAATAATTGAATTGAAACATTTTTAAAGAGCAAACTTTCTTCTGACAGCACTGCAGGTTTCATGATTCACAGGAGGATGACTTTAGGTTTGTGTTTTGTGTTTGTCTCCTGGGTGCACCGGTTACTAGAGATGCAACTACTTGCTCAGTGGGAAGAGCTGTTGTTTTGTAATCTGAAGGCTGTGGGTTTGATTCCGGTTTTCTCCTGACCTTGAACATATTGTGCTCCTGAACAAAGCACTTAACTCCAAGCAAGCTTTATTGAGGCGGCTGTGGACCAGACTGTAGAACCATGTATCTACGCAGTTGTCCTTTTTTGTCTTAAACATTAATGATCTGTCATTTTGCTTCTGTCATACAGTTTATTTTAATGATGTCCCAATACAATATTGGTCAGATATCAGACAAAAACACTATTGGATTATATTGGTCTGCAACTAAAATCTCCAATATTGGATTCTGCATAAAGCATTTTTCCCCTACTTGCTTTGATTCTGTTTTATTTTCCTATATTTTAAAGCACTTTGCTCTGTCTTTGTACTGAATTGTGTTATACCAATATATTTGCCTTGCCTTGCCTAAGTAACCCATTGTAATATTATTATTCGCTGTTTGAGTAAAATAAGTTGATGAAACCTTTTCTAACAATGCGCACTTCAAAATAAGTATTAAAAGTGTGCATGATTCATGCCAATACAGAATCAGGTCAGTATAGGTTTCCATAAAAGTAAAAAAATAAATAAAAATCTTGGTTTCCAAGATTTTAAGACGTTTCACCACCTCTCCAGTAAGCTTTTTCAATTCAAATTTGTCAGTATAGGTATTGGTCTGTTCTTAAAGGTGCAATATCAGTGTTGGAAATGAAAATGTTTTCCCAAATATATTTAGTTTCCCTGTATTTTATGTTTATTTTACTTTTTACTTTGGATCTTTATGCTATCATTAACCTGTTTTCTCTGCTGCTGACACGCTGAAATATCCCCATGGATGGATTTTTCTGTTTTTCTCAGTGTCACTGCTTTGTCAAGTACCTCAGTTGGTATTTTAGTTAAGTGCTTTAATACATGGTCTGTTTACTGTTACTTAAATAGGGTGGGATTTTCAAG